AAACTTCTCAGTTTCAGGAGGTCCCATTATTAATTGTTGATCTCAGTGTCTGTACTACTGGTGTTATGTTCAGGAAGTGGGCTCCTATACCAATTCATTAAAGGGTACTTCCCACTTTCTCTTCTAAGAGGTTCAGTGTGGCTGAACTGATGTTGAGGTCTTTGATCCATTTGGATTTAAGTTTTGTGCAAAGTGATAAATAAGAATCTATCTGCAGTCTTTTACATGCCAGCTTCCAGTTATGCCAGCACCATTTGTTGAAGATGCTTTCTTTTTTTCCATTGTATAGTTTTAGCATCTTTGTCAAAGATCAGGTGTTCAAAGGTTTATGGGTTAATATCAGGATCTTGAATTCAATTCCATTGATCTACCTGTCTGTTTTTGTGACAATACCAAACTGTTTTCAGGACTATAGCACTGTAGTAGAGCTTGAAATCAGGGATGGTGACGCCTCCTGAAGTTACTTTATTGAACAGGGTTGTTTTGATTATCCTGGGTCTTTTGTTTTTCTATATAAAGTTGAGAATTGTTCTTTCAAGGTCTGGTATTTTGATAGGGATTGCATTGAATCTGTAGATTGCTTTTGGTAAGATTGCCATTTTTACTATATTGATCCTACTTATCCAAGAGCATGGGAGATCTTTCCATTTTCTGGTATCTTCTTTAATTTCTTTCTTTAAAGACTCAACGTTCTTGTTATACAGGTCTTTCACCTGTTTGGCTAGAGTTACCTGAAGATATTTTATGTTGTCTGTGGGTATTGTAAAGGGTGATGTTTCTCTGATTTCTTTCTCATCCCTTTCATTGTCTCTATATATAGTAGAGCTACTTGTTATTTTTGAGTTAATTTTGTATCCTGCTACTTTGCTGAAGGTGTTCATCAGCTGTAGGAGTCCCCTGGTAGAATTCTTTGGGTCACTTATGTAGAATATCATATCATCTGCAAATAGTGAAAATTTGCCTTCTTCCTTTCTAATTTGTATTCCCTTGATCTCCTTTTGTCGTCTTATTGCTCTAGCAAGAACTTCAAGTACAATATTGAAGAGATTTGGAAAGAGTAGACATCCTTTTCTTGTTCCTGATTTTAGAGGAATTGCCTTAAGTTTCTCTCCATTTAGTTTGATGTTGGCTGTTGGTTTGCTGTATATTGCTTTTATTATGTTTAGGTATGTTCCTGTTATCTCTGATCTCTCCAAGACCTTTATCATGAAGGGGTGTTGGATTTTGTCAAAGGCTTTTTCAGTATCTAGTGAGATGATCATGTGGTTTTTCTTTTTCAATTTGTTTATATGGTAGATTACATGGATGGATTTTCATATGTTGAACCATCCCTGCATCCCTGGGATGAAGCCTACTTGATTATGGTGTATGATTTTTCTGATGTGTTCTTGGATTCGATTTGCCAGTATTTTATTGAGTATTTTTACATCAATGTTCATGAGGGAGGTTGGTTATGTCTTTGTGTGGTTTGGGTACTAAGGCAATTGTAGCCTCGTAAAGAGTTTAGCAGTGATCCTTCTGTTTCTATTGTGTGGAACAATTTGAAGAGTATTGGTATTAGCTCTTCCTTGAATTTTTGGTAAAATTCTGCATTGAAGCCATCTGGCCCTGGACTTTTTTTGGTTGGAAGACTTTTTGTGGCTGTTTCCATTTCTTTAGGGGTTATAGATCTATTTAAATCGCTTATCTGTTCTTGATTTAATTTTGGTAAGTGATATCTATCCAGAAAATCATCCATTTCCTTTAAATTTTCCAATTTAGTGGAATACAGATTTTCACTATGACATGATGATTCTTTGGATTTTCCCAGTGTCTGTTGTTATGGCCCCCTTTTCATTTCTGATTTTGTTTTGTTTAGTTTTGTTTTGAGACAGGATTTCTCTGTATTGTTTTGGAGGCTGTCCTGGAACTCGCTCTGTAGAGCGGGTTGGCCTCGAACTCACAGAGATCTGCCTGCCTCTGCCTCCTGAGTGCTGGGATTAAAGGTGCGTGCTCTTTCTGATTTTGTTAATTATCATGTTCTCTCTCTATGTTTTGGTTAGGTTGGATAAAAGTTTGTCTCTCTTGTTGATTTTCTCAAAGAGCCAGCTCTTTGTTTCATTGATTCTTTGTATTGTTTTCTTTGTTTCTTCTTTATTGATTTCAGCTCTCAATTTGATTATTTCCTGGTGTCTAGTCCTCCTGGGTGAGTTTGCTTCTTTTTGTTCTAGAGCTTTCAGGTGTTCTGTTAATTCTCTAGTGTGGAAATTCTCCGGTTTCTTCATGTGGACACTTTGTGCTATGAACTTTCCTCTTAGCATTGCTTTCAAAGTGTCCCATAGCTTTGGGTATGTTGTGCCTTCATTTTCATTGAATTCTACAAGTCTTTTATTTCTTTCTTTATTTCTTCCTTTACCCAGGGGTGATACAATTGAGCGTTGTTCAATTTCCATGAGTTTGTAGGGTTTCTGCAATTTGTGTTGATGTTGAATTCTAATTTTAAGCCTTGGTGGTCCAACAAGATACAGGGGGTTATTCCAATTTTTTTGTATCTGTTGAGGTTTGCTTTATTGCCAAGTATGTGGTCGATTTTAGAGAAGGTTCCATGTGGTGCTGAGAAGAAGGTATATTCTTTTTTGTTTGGATAGAATGTTCTATAGATGTCTGTTAAACCCAATTGGGTTATAACTTCTGTTAGTTCCATTGTTTCTTTGTTAAGTTTCTTTCTGGTGGACCTGTCCAGTGGTGAGAGTCGGGTGTTGAAGTTTCCCACTATAAGTGTGTGGGGTTTAATGTGTGACTTGAGTTCTATTAATGTTTTACAAATGAGGGTGCCTTTGTATTTGGGGCATATATGTTCAGATTTGAGATTTCATCCTGATGGACTTTTCCTGTGATGAATATGAAATGACTTTCTTCATCTCTTTTGATTAATTTTAGTTTTAAGTCTATTTTGTTAGATATTAGGATAGCTACACCCAATTGCTTCTTACCTCCATTTGATTGGAAAATCTTTTCCTAACCCTTAACCTTGAGGTAACGTCTGTCTTTGAAATTGAGGTGTGTTTCTTGTATGCAGCAGAAGGATGGATTCTATCTTCGTATCCATTCTGTTAGCCTGTGTCTTTTTATAGGTGAGTTAAGAGCATTGATGTTCAGGCAAATTAATGAACATCAATTGTTGATTCTTGTTCGCTTTGGATCCGTTTGTGGTGGTGGTATTGTGTGTGAGTTTTTCCCTTATTTCTGACTTCTGATAAAGTAAGATTTTCTATTGCCCATGTTATTTTGAGTGTAGTCAACTTCCTTGGGTTGGAGTTTTCCTTCTAGAACTTTCTGTAGGGCTCGATTTGTGGATACGTGTTGTGTGAATCTGGTTTTGTCATGGAATATCTTGTTTTCTCAATCTATAGTGATTGAGAGTTTTGCTGGTAATAGTAGTCTGGGCTGGAATCTGTGGTCTCTTAGTGTTTGTAGAACACTAGGACCTTCTGGCTTTCAGAGTTTCCATTTAGGTTGGGTGTAATTCTGATAGGTTTGCCTTTACATGTTAGTTGGCCTTTTTCCTTTGCTGCTCTTAATATTCTTTCTTTATTCTTTATATTTGGTGTTTTGATATTATGTGGCAAGGGAACTTTTTTTTTGGTCCAGTCTATTTGGTGTTTGGTAAGATTCTTGTACTTTCATAGGCATGTCCTTCTTTAGGTTGGGAAAGTTTTCTTCTATGATTTTGCTGAATATGTTTTCTGTACCATTGAGCTGGGCTGCTTCGCCTTCTGATTCTGGAAGATGCAAAACCATAGTGTCATGAACAAGATTGGTGGCTCAAGAGCTGGGGGAGAGAGGAGGGGAAAAGAAAAGCATAGAAGATTTTTCGAGCAGTGAAGCTATTCTGAATGATACCACAGCAGTGGGTATGCCTAGCATTGTGCTTTTTCACTTTTCCCAAAGTGCTCCTTAGTATAAACTTAGGGAAAGTGTGGCAACTGTCACAAGCCTGCCACCTGGAGTGTGGGTAGTCCTGGCAGGGAAGGTTGTTCACATGTCTAGGCAGGAGGTATATGGGTACGCCCAGTACTTTCAGTCCTGTTTTGCTCAGAATTCAAAATACAGAAGTATTAAAATATAGCCAGACTGTAGCTTAGATGGTTGACTGCCTGGCATGCGGTGGAGCTCAAGGTTTGATCCCAGGCACCACAAAAACTGCAGGTGTCATGGCACATTTGTAATCCTAGCAGGAGCATGAGAAGTTCAAGGCCATCCTCAGCTTCACAGCGAGTTTGAGGCTAGTTTGGCACACATGACAACCTGTCTTTAAAAGGGGGGGGGTAAAATAAGGTGAATCAGAGACTGTTCCAGTATTTGATGGATTCATAGCATTATTTTTGTCTGGATGACACACTGGTGTTTGGGGTAATCAATGGGAGGTTTGTAGAATGACCAGGCAATGTGGGATCTCCATCTTCCACCACTCCCTGCATTACAGAGGAGGATGGGACAGTGATAGTGGGAGTCAGTCTCCATCCTCTGCACCATCCCCTATATCAACAGAGGAGGATGGGAGGGTGCTGGTGGGAGTCAGTCTCCATCCTACACACCATTCCTCGTATCACAGAGAAGGATGGGACAGCACTATACTTAGACTTAACCAAACACAGAGAAGGTAACTTGGGCAGCATACTTTATTTGCGTTTGACCTGGCAGTAGCAACACTGGCCTTTTCAGGCTGTTCCAGAGCTAACCTTCTTTGATGGCAGGCTTCTAAATATGAGACCAGAGCTTTACAGTAAGGTTTACTGCAAAGCAGGTAATTGAGAACACATACTCTTAGGCTGGCCTGCTTCCAAGAGCAGCACAGGGCTGTATACGCCCAGTTTTCTTACAGAGTTGGCAGTGGCAGAAGTCATTCCACTTTCCCTGAGGCCTGGGTGACCAGCTGGTGGAGAGGAGCCCGGGCACTGTACTGACATGCATCCCTGTGAGGGTAATAGTGCGTGGTTAAACATGTCCTTCTCTTTCAGGTATATGGATCATTATTTGGAAGATTTCCTGGAGTCTGCTAACAGGTACTTCATGGTTGGCCACAGGGTCATATTTTATGTCATGGTGGACGACGCCTCCAGAATGCCTGTTATACCCATGGGTCCTCTGCACTCCTTACAAGTGTTTGAGGTCAAGCCTGAGAAGAGGTGGCAAGACATTAGCATGATGCGTATGAAGACCATCGGGGAGCACATCCTGTCCCACATACGGCACGAGGTCGACTTCCTCTTCTGCATGGACGTGGATCAGGTCTTTCAAGACAATTTTGGTGTGGAGACCCTGGGCCAGTTGGTAGCTCAGCTCCAGGCCTGGTGGTACAAGGCCGATCACGACAAGTTTACCTACGAGAGACGGGAACTGTCGGCGGCGTACATCCCGTTTGGACAGGGGGATTTTTATTACCACGCAGCCATTTTTGGAGGAACGCCCATTCGCATTCTCAACCTCACCCAGGAATGCTTTGAGGGGATCCTCCAGGACAAGAACAATGACATAGAAGCCAAGTGGCACGATGAAAGTCACCTCAACAAATACTTCCTTTCCAACAAGCCCACGAAGATCTTGTCTCCAGAGTACTGTTGGGACTATCAGATAGGCTTGCCTTCAGAAATCAAAAACGTAAAGGTGGCTTGGCAGACAAAAGAGTATAATTTGGTTAGGAGTAATGTCTGACTTCAAATGTGCTGGCAGGGTTCTAAATCTGACAGAGAGTTATTCTGGCTAAATTCCTCAAAAGAGTAATAACAGTTGATTTTTGCCTTAAAAAATCAAAACCAAAACCCACTGACATGGCAGACACACAGTATTTCTTTCCCCTTACAACTGTGAGAAGGAGGCTATGGTAAGTAATCAGATGTAAATTCGCAGTGATTTCTTATATATTCTGGGTTTGGGGGAAATACTACATAAGCTGAAATCAAAGTTAATTTGCCATAGGTAAACCAAGATTCAGGACGTTCTGCCCAGTATATAGATAGCTTACTGGAGAGCAGGGTGCCAAGAGAAGTGCTTGGTGACGAGGTGGGCTGATCGGGGTGGGGGACACCATCCCCTCGGCTCACTCCCTTCCTGGTTGTGGGATTCTAGAGCAACACAGAAAAAGACTTTGCAGCAGGAGAACTGTAATGAGGACCCCGCGTGGTCCTCAGAGGCTTTCCAGCTGATGCTTCAGGCCGCTTGCAGTGCAGACTCCATTGGGCTACTGTCTGGCTTCTGTGTGTAAGGAAGGTAGAGAGTGCCAGTGGGTACCACGGTGGCACCTGGTCAGTGTTCCAGTAAATACAGGGCTGGGCTGGCGACTTAGAGTCTGTGCTATGCCGAGGGGACACGGCAGGGGGTCAGTGCTTGAACTGAGTTGCAAATACAGACAGCGTTCTTAATGGTGCCTAATAGCAGGACTCCGAAGGCACCCAAGTCACAGTCGGTGTTGAGCACTGTGGAGAGAGGAGTGGGCAGCAGTAGGGAAGGAGAATGCGGAAGTGGACCCGATTTCCACTGGAAGATGCCCTGTCAGCACCGGGTCCTACCACCCCGAACCTCAAGCTTCCTCAGCGCGTCTACTCCAGCATGGAGGACCGGAATGAAGGGAAAGCCCTCCGTTGTGTGACCTCATTTCCCCTGCTCTGTCTGCACTATCCAAGTGCAACAGCCAGACAGACATACTGGACAACATGGGCGACTGACTACAGCATCGGGAGACCCAGTCACCATAACTGAGCTGCTAAATGTCTGGTTCCCTTCTTCAAGGGGAGCTTAACATCTTCTATGCCAATGGTTCTCGAACTGTGGGCCGTGACCCTTACAGTGGTCCCATATCAGGCGTCCTGCATATCAGATATTTACATTATGATTCATAGCAGTAGCAAAATCACAATTATGAAGTAGCAACGAATAATTTAATAACTTAATAAATTAACATGTGGAACTATATTAAAGGGTCCGCAGCATTAGGAAGGCTGAGAACCACTGCTCTATATGGTAACTTAAGCAAATCAGCAGAAAGGGGGTTGTCAGTCTTTATTTCCACATGTACGGATATTTATATCTTGCTTGACTTCGAGCTGTGTCATCTGTCTCCATTTTCAAGCAATTTATTTAAAATGCCGTTGCACTGTCTTGACGTATGGCGTGAAGGGCTTCAATAAAAAAACCGGCTTACATTTTGTTTACAGTGCACCACCTCTTACTCTTCAATAGTTAAAAAAAAAAGTCACATACCCAGCAGCAACAAATTCCCAGATTTGTGGGGTTTCGAAAGGAAGTGGAGACCACACATTGGCTAAGGACTCTGCCTCTGTCACTCGGGTCGTGCTGGATCTGGTCTAAAGTGGGAGAGTTTAATGTCTTACGTCTTGAACCAAAGAAATGATCTGTCCTGAAAGTGTAGAAAAAAAGGCTGAAGGAATTTTGAGGGAACTTATTGATTTTTAAAAATTAATCTAAATTAAAATCCTTAAGTGAGTAAATTTAGGGTGTTATTAAAGGTAATGTTTAAACATTTTTTAAGTAAAAATTCTGGTTTATAATTGAATAAATTATTTTTCGGTATATTCTGGTCTGGTCATGGATTATGCATTTTCTCCCAGAGATGTTCGAAAGTATCAGTTATGATTGTAATCATACAGGATTTTAGGACCTTAGACTTAGAAAAGCTGTCATGACCTCCTTGGCCTGTTCTATTACAGAGACAGGACTGCAGAGAGTAGGGTGTCACTCCCAAATTATAAAGTTGTTTGTGTGTGTGTGTGTGTGTGTGAGAGTGTGTGTGTCTGAATGTGTGTATGAGTGTGTATATGTGTGTGTGTCTGTGTATATGAGTGTGTCTGTGTGTGAGTGTGTGCATGTGTGTGTCTGAGAGTGTCTCTGTGTGTGAGTGTGTATGTGAGTGTGTATGTGTGTGTATGTGAGTGTGTATATGTGTGTGTGTCTGTGTCCGTCCGAGTGTGGAGGGGTTGACACTAATGTCTTCCTTATTTGTTCTCCACCATATCTATCTTTTGACCAGGGTCTCACTGAATGTGAATGGAGCTCACTGATTTGGTTAGACTGGCTGGCTAGTGAGCTCCAGCAAGGGTCTGCTGTCTCCACCCCTACTGATGCGCCTCCCCCCCACACATACACACATACTTTCCGTGGGTTCTCAGGAATCAAATTTATCAACTCAGCCATTTTCCCAGCCCGGCCATGCTCCCCCTACCCTCCCAGTGTCAACGGCGTGTCTGTGAGGGAGTTACTGGATAGAGTTAGCTGACCGACTGGAACTGGAAGGCGCAGTCAATGTGAGGGCCTGACTAAAAGGGAAAGCAGGCAGAGCCCCAGCATCTCTCTGCTTCCTGACTACGTGCAGTGTGACTGAGGTGCCTCACGTCCTAGCTGCCACAACTTCCTCCTTCATGGTCTGTCAGACAGAACCTTCTTGCTGTGACTCAAGCTAGGAGCTCGAGGGTTACAGCTTGTGTTCAGGCTGAGGCTCTGAGCTGGAGCAGACCCGGTTCGGAGCCCATTGGGGGGCGGGGGCAGTAGACCTGGCATGCATTTGCCCCATCAGCAAACAGTGGCTCTCAGCTTAGGACTCGCCCCTCTCCCTGCCCTTGCAGCCATTTGGCAGTGGCAATATCTGCATTTTTTGCTTGTCACAACCCGTGTGTGAGTGTGGGTGCTGCTGGCTTTTAGTGGGTAGATACAAGGAACACTGCGAAGTGTTTCACAATGCTCAGATGCACAGGGCGGTAAACCCCACCTCAAGGCGTGTCATTGGTGCCAATCTCAGAGCCCTGGTGTCATGTTCTTTCAGATTTCACAGATGGAACATCTTGTTTGTGTGGGAAATGGCCTAATTAAGCCTCGGGAGTTCTAGAGCTCACTTCCTCCCTGGACTCCAGAGCCCAACCAGAGGAGTTCCCTCTCGTGGACACCAGGGGGCAGGAGTTCCAAAGATAACCAGTTTCTGGAGCGATTAAAAACCCTGCCACTATTGAAGGTGGCTTATCTGAAGAAATGGTGTTGATTCTGTATATAAGTGAAACTAGCCCTACAAGCTTAAAGGATGCCGCTGTGAAAAATTAGGGAAAATCAGAACATTTACAGTGACTTGGCTGTAACTGTCCAGAGGGAGAGAGCTTCCTGTCTCCGCTAAACAGATCGGTTTACGAGGACCAGGAGCAGCCTTGATCTGTTGAAGTCCCCCAGCGTTTGCTGGAGGGGTGGTGCAGCGGTCTACGGAAGGCTAACAAGCATGTTTGTGAGAGCCCATGATCGGTGACATCACCGTGGCATGTGAAGCCCTCCTGGGAATCAGCAAGACGCTAGGCCACCTTTCTTCTCCCTTCCCCTCCTTTCTCTTTTGTGTGTCAGTCGTGAACACGTCATACTCACGCTACTATAGCCAGGACACCAGCAAGAGCCAAGGGCTCGGAGGGTCTCAGAGCTGAAAACAGCGCTGTCCTAGGAGAGCTGCTCTGGGTGTGACCACCGACTCTGTGGCCACAACTAGGTGTCCCACCCTCGAGAAGTAGCTGCCACTTCCGGCTCTGAACCCAGACACCCTTCCCAAGCATCCAAAAGCCATCCTGTCACCATGATCCCAAGTTGTTCCGAGACACTTCAGCACAGCCCCTCGCACGGCAGGACCCAGGTGTCCAGATGCATCAAGGGACTGGGTTTCTTAGAGTATTTAACAACTGCTTCTTTGGGTCCTATTGGCAGCTCATTTGACTGTTAATTAGACTCTTTAGGGTCAGAGTCTGGGCCCTGGCAGCTCCAACTAGCTAACCTTGGCCACACATTTCCCCACTAGGCTAATTAAAGAAACGGTCCGTGGTGAAAGCCACAGAGAGAGGTATTCAATGTGGACACGTTAGGAAGAGGAGCGAATAAAGAGGTCCAATGACAGCCACCCTCAAACCCTTCTTAGGAGTTCTGACATGGGTTTGCGTTTAAGTAGAAACTAAACACAAAGCTGGCCAAGGTGGGGTTTTACTGCTGCCAGCTCCAGCCCGTCCTGAAGGACTATCTGACATGCTGTGGGACCATGTGAAATCTGTTTCCAGGAGACAGCTTCCTCCTCTGGTGGGCATCAGTCTTAAGGCTCTCCATTTCTCATCACCAGATTCCTACAGAGGACATGGCTATTCCTCAGGGTGCGCTGTCTCAGAAGTCTGATGGTCAAAGGCGTGTGCTCCTTGCTTGGGCAGCTGCAGGCGTGTTCTGCAGTTTGTGAAACGAACGGTAAGCTTAAATCACTCCTAAACATATTCCAGTTAATAAAAATGCACGGAGGGAAGGGAGACAATCATGGCAACGCTGATTTAAGAGAGAGGCATAGTGGTTATCCGCTCCAAGGCTGCTGCAATGGAGTATGGTTCCACCATAAAGCTCACAGTGAGGTTTGCGCCCAGGGGGCAGTGTTGAGTTGTGAGTTGTGAGTTGTGTTGGCCTTGAATGGGGACTTGCTTTTCTATGAGTGACAGTTTCTGTGAGGTAGGATGTCTCTCTCTCTCTCTCTCTCTCTCTCTCTCTCTCTCTCTCTCTCTCTCTCTCTCTCTCTCTCTCTCTCTCTCTCTCTGTCTGGTTTTCAAGACAGAGTTTCTCTGTGTAGCTTTGGAGCCTGTTCTGGAACTCACTCTGTAGACCAGGCTGGCCTCAAGCTCACAGAGATCCACCACCACCACCCCGCCCCCGCCCCCGTCCCCCAGTGCTGGGATTAAAGGCGTGTGCCACCACCACCCGACTCACACCTGAGCTCTTTTTACACAAAGCCTGCCTGACTTAGTCTTGGGAGTTGAACTGGCTGCAGGCCTCTCACCAGAAGCTCAGCTGATTCCAGGGACACATTCCTGGACTTGTGGAACTAGAGGCCACAATTGTTTTCTTTGTGAAGCACCCAGACTCCAGTCTTTTGTGGTAGCAAAGCAAAACACATCAAGAAGCGCTAAAGGAGTGATTTGGAATTCAGTGGCCCTTGCTCCAAGTGTTCTGCCAAGGTGAGCTGTAGCCTTCAACCACCTGCTCCACTGATCTCAAGCCTACTCAACTATGTAGGCAGCGCTGGTCACTAGCGTCATAGCTGGGATCAGTTGGAGACCTCCTGTCCAGGCTGTCATGGGAAGCTCACCACTTTTTACATTTATCAGATGGACGGGAGGCAGCTGGACATTCACACCCATGGAACCTCCAAATTCCAAAGACAGTCCCAGGGAGTTTTTGTCTTTCTTAGTGGCAAGGGACACTCAGCATTTGTTTACAAACCTGGCTGCACCTTGAAATTTCCTGGATTGAGAGTGTGTCATCAGAGAAACCTCCTATCGGGTTACTAAAAATACCTGTCATTGGCATTTTATTTGCTCTCTTATTCTTCATGGCTCAGGTGGTTGGTAATTCTATCCAGTAATGTTTTTATTTCACATAGGTACTTTTTGGTTTATTTTCTTTTTGAGATGGGATCTTGCTATGTAACCCACAACAGCCCCACGTTGGCTTAGTGAGTTCTGGGATTATAAATCTGTCCCATTACACCTGGTTCTCAAACGTATGTTTTATTTTATTTTATATTTTTTGGAGACTGGTATTCTATGTAGCCCAGGCTGGTCTTAAACTCACTCTGTAGTTCAGGATGTCCAAGAACCCCTGCCTCAGCCATCCAAGTGCTGGAATTACAGACATGCACCACTATACCTAGCTCAAATACATGCTTTCAAGTTCTAGAATGTCAATTGTTTTTGTAATTTCTCTTGCTTGGCTAAGAATTTCTGCTTGGTCATTCATTTTGACAATGCTTTCTAGTAAATCTTTTAAAGTTCATGTTGATCTTGTCTAAAATCTTTTTTTTTTCTTTGTCTTTTTTCTTTTTTGGTTTTTCGAGGCAGGGTAGCCTTGGTTGTCCTCGAAGTCACTCTGTAGACCAGGCTGACCTTGAACTCACAGGGATCCACCTGCCTCTGCTTCCCGAGTACTGGGACTAAAGGCGTGCGCCACCACCGCCCAGCTCTCTCTAAAGTCTTATTCACAGGTTTTCTGAATGAAACTGCACATTGGCTCAAAGACAAGTCTATTAGTCAGTGTGGTGGTTTAACTAAGAATGCCCCCCCCACCCATAGGCTTGCTTATTTGGATGCTTCGTCATCAGGAAGTGGCACTATTTGAGAAGGTATGGCCTTGTTGGAGGAAGTGTGCCACTGAGGTCAGGCTTTGAGGTTCTAAAAGCCCATGCCGAGCCCTGTGTCACCTTTCCTGCTGCCTGTGGATTAGAAGGTAGCTCTCAGCTACTCCTCCAGTACCATGTCTGCCTGCATGCCTCCAGGTTCCCTGCCACATGACGATGGGCTAAAGCTCTGAAACTGTAAGCCAGTCCCAACTAAATGCTTTCTTCCTGAAGAGTCGCCTTGGTCACGGTGTCTCTTCAGTTCTGTCGAACAGTGACTAGGACACTCAGGGTTTGCTAGAGGAACAGAAACAATGGGATCAACACAGACAATTCTATCAATTCTGTTTCTTTAGAGAACCCTGACTAATAAATCTCCCAATGGCGCAACCTTGGGGTAATCAACAGCTGTCTAATTGGACTTAAGGCCTGTTCAACAGAAGGGAGTTCATGCCTGATTCCATAAATCTTCCTGTGACTGGAGAGGTTATAGACTGTTGAGGAAAACCTTCTACTGCTATTTCTCCTAAAGCAATCTAATTTCTAACTATATCATCAATGTGTATCCTTACACCCATAGATAAATGTAGCTCACACCACTCATCAAATTAGCTTCCTTCTTCAACAGATGGAGGTTACTACAAAGATGCACAATGGGCCAAAACACAGACCATAGTGCCCAGCCCCAACCGCTCTACTTACAAACACTCCGGGAACTTCATGGGAGGGGGGCAGAAAGATTATAAGAGCCAGAGAACTGCAATGCCTGCTTCAGGATAAATGTCTTCTAGACATGACAGGGAAGTTGCACCATGAGATTGAAATAGTGTGGTTGCCTAAACAAGGCCTATATAATGACAACACCAGTCAATATTGCACTGCAGATGGAGGAACTGTGCCAAATCCCACCCCTAGAAGAAGAGCTAGCTAAAGGCACTTGCTAGCTGCTGAGGGAGGGTCTGTTTTTTTACAGGGATGAGCTCCCCGTTGGGTTGTCCAAGTCCCACCGGTCATCCCCACACATGTATACATACACAACACTAAGTGGACTCAGTAAATTTTACATATACATGTAAATGTATGTTTATTTATAGAAGAGGTGATTATGAATTTGAGAGGGAGTGTTGAGACAGACAGAAGGCATTGTACATGGAACTATGTAAACACAGTATGAAATTGTCAAACAAATGCGTTTAAATAAAAACAGTCAAAATCTAGTCTTCTGATTATGAAAAATAAACTCCAACCGGGTGGTGGTGGTGCACGCCTTTAATCCCAGCACTCGGGAGGCAGAGGCAGGCGGATCTCTGTGAGTTCGAGGCTGGGCTGGACCAATAGCCTCCAAAACAATACAGAGAAACTCTGTCTCATAAAAACCAAAAAAAGAAAAAAAGAAAAAAAAACTCCAGAACATGAATTGTTAAGGTCACAGCATGATTCTTTCATCACCAAGGGACTGATGATGTCATCACCTACAAAGACTGGAATAACCAAAACATTCCACATTCCAAAGACTGGAATAATCAACACTCAAAAGTGTGGAGTGTCAAGGTTACACACTGGATTAGCTTTCAAACACTTCAAACCATCTTCCCTTTTAAGATTCTCTGTCTTCTCCATGAATGGTAAGGGTCTGATGAAGAACCTGTATGGAATTATTTTGTGATCTGGGCAAAATAATTGGTAAGAGGTTGTTCTTAATGGCAACTGAACTGAACGACAGCTGTTTTTTTCTGTACACAGATAATTTCATTAGGAGTTGATTAAACAGCATGATTTTGTAACTTAAAAAAAAAAAGACTTTACACTGGTCATGATGGCATACATCTTTATTCCCAGCACTCATGAGACAGAGGCAGGAGGACCTCTGAGTTCAAGGCATCCTTATCTACAGAGAGAGTTGCTGGTCAGCTAGGGCTACACAGTGAGACTCTTGTCTTTAACAAAGAAGAACATTTTTATTCCGTTTGTCTGTGTATGTGTGGGGAGAATGTGTATACATATGTGGAGGTCAGAAGACGGCATGGAAGGATCGGTTCTCTCCTTCTACCGTGTGACTCAGGTCCAGGCCTTTTAGTTTGGTTTTTGAGCTAGGATCTCACTGTGGATTCTAGACTGGCCTCAAGCTTGCAGTGATAAGCTCATCTCTGCCTCCATGAGAACTGAGGTTACAGGGATACCTTGCATGCTTGGCTAGGTTTTATAAACTGCAGGCTAAAAGCCAAGGTAACCTAAACATTATATTTGAGCCTCCAGGCAGCACTGGAAACTGATTTTATATTCAATTACTCTTGAGAAGAAGCGTAAGCCATCGGCTGCGATCAGTCCCAGCACCCTTCCTGCTGTAATCATCACAATACTGTACGACTAAAGACTTAACAGTTTGTAAGTGTGCACATCTACAGACTCAAAGTTAGAAGTCTCAGTATGCAGGATTCAAGGGGACACCGAGGTAAGAGGTTAGGGGAGTTGTAAATGTCACAGAATACAGCACAGTGAGGGAGAGATCAGGCCCACACACAAGGGTCCCCTTCTATAGACCCTGGAAGTCCTGAGACATGTAGTTGATGACGAGCAGCCCATAATATATGGGTGTAGTCAGGTTGCCTCTGATTTCTGGGTGGAAAGAGAAGGGAAAAGAGTTGGCCTTTTGGTGGGGCCCATCATGCAGTATGCGCCACCTGCAGCCACCAACAGCTAAGCGTGCTTGGCAAACTTCTCTTGATGAAGTGGAACGCAGACTCACGGTTGCAGTGTGGGTATCTGTCCTTTCATTTACAGAAGCCGAGAGTGTGAAGCGAAAGAGGCTGCTGCGGGTAAGTGTGACCTGGGAAGCCCTTAGCCCAAACCTAACGCAGGTGAGTGTTTCCATGAGCAGCTTTTGACTGACACCCACAGTGTGACTGAGGCTGAGGAGCAGATTTTTAACTTGTTTCTCTAACAGAAAGCTCTTGTGGTTTAGAGAACACAGATGCATTGAGGCTGCAGGAAAGCAGTTAAACATCAGCTAGCTAAAACACCAGAACGCCCACTAACACACCGTGTTTTTATGTAGACAGACCTCCAAGGAGCCACAGGGCCTTAATGCAAGTCAGTGCACCAGGATGAGGCCACAGAGAAGCAAGGTTTCCCACAGCTCACTGTAAACACGGGGTTCCCACAGCTTACTGTAAACACGGGGTTCTCACAGCTCACTGTATACACGGGGTTCTCACAGCTCACTGTATACACGGGGTTCTCACTGTAAACACGGGGTTCCCACAGCTCACTGTATACACGGGGTTCTCACAGCTCTCACTGTATACACGGGGTTCTCACAGCTCTCACTGTAAACACGGGGTTCCGACAGCTCACTGTATACACGGGGTTCCCATAGCTCACTGTATACACGGGGTTCTCACAGCTCACTGTATACACGGGGTTCCGACAGCTCACTGTATACACGGGGTTCCCACAGCTCACTGTATACACGGGGTTCCTACAGCTCACTGTAAACACGGGGTTCCGACAGCTCACTGTATACACGGGGTTCCGACAGCTCACTGTATACACGGGGTTCTCACAGCTCACTGTATACATGGGGTTCCGACAGCTCACTGTATACACGGGGTTCCCACAGCTCACTGTATACACGGGGTTCTCACAGCTCACTGTATACACGGGGTTCCTACAGCTCACTGTATACACGGGGTTCCCACAGCTCACTGTATACACGGGGTTCTCACAGCTCTTACTGTAAACACGGGGTTCTCACAGCTCACTGTATACACGGGGTTCCCACAGCTCACTGTATAAACGGGGTCCCCCACAGCTTACTCCGTATACACAGCGTTTCCCACTATTGTGTCTACTCTTTAGATAGCACTATGCTTATTCAACTTTTATCTTGTTTTTCCTTCAGGAAAAGAATGAGATACAAAATATTAATCCGGTTGCTATTGATTTTTATGTCTCTGTGTGTCCTTTATAGAGAATACCAGTTCAGGTAACTGTGAAACTTAAGGTTGTATTCATATATGTGATAAGAATGTGGTGAGTCAGAACAGGTTTGCCCTTAGCTAAATCAGCTGCTGAATGCATCAATCTGAACATGAAAGAATTAGACCCAAGTAGGTCTACATGAACAGAGTCCTTTGTCTCCCCTTGTTTCTAAATATATGAAAGATTTTTCAAAATGCTAGAGATAGCCTGGTATGGTGGCACACACCTGTAATCCCAGTCCTCAGAAGGCAGAGGCAGGCAGATCTCTGAGGTGGAGGCCAACCTGGTCCACAGAGAGAGTTCCAGGACAGCCAGGGCTACACAGACAAACCTGTCTCAAAAAGAAAAAAAAGAAAAGCTGTAGGAGAGTCAGTATGAAGATACCACTTACTGTGACAGTGCAATGTTCATTAAAAATACGTAGAGAAACTGCTTTTGGAAACAGGTGACATCTTAAAGAACGAGAGCCTACTGTTGGTGACTTAACGTATAAAATATTGTGTTTACTCCATAAATGTGAAACAAATAGAAAGACTTCCTATGTAAAGAACAAGTTCCTACTTATAACATGAATTAATCTCATTTATTTGTCTCCAAGAATTAGGAGGCAGTGGACATGCTTTGTAAAACGTAGTAAACGGTTGGGGAATTCTAGCTTGGTAGTGGAACATTTCCTAGCATGAACAAGGCCATGAGTTCAGTCTCCAGATGGTAAGAGAAATATAAATGAATATACAGGACACAAGCCTCCAATTTAAAGATCTTTACCATGGTTGCTACATTATCTGGACAGCAATAATGTACTTCCAGTAGTATATTTTGCAACATTAGTTAATAAGGAAGCTAGACGACTTGTGGAAACCTTTTGTATACGTTTCAAAGTAATATAATGCCTTTTTATTTCTCCTAAGTCCAAAGAAGCTGCAGATGACATATCAGTGCTGGTAAGTTTTTATTTAAAAATATGGAATGACCAGTCCTTTGAGGACAACGTTGGATGAAAGGCTTGGACTACCCATGAATCCATGTTTCCTTCAGTCAGATTAAACCAGCAAACACATGTTTACAAACACGTTGGTGATAACTAAATTTGGAATGCCAAGAACCAAAGAAAAATCAGATGGACAGAGTACCATATCTAATGAAAGGGTGGGAATTAATAGGAGAATGATCAGCCAGGGGGCAGAATTTAGGCCCTGCAAACTTTGTTGAATTGTGAATCTAATTAATCTTAATAAAAAAAATCGGGAGTCGTATATTGGGATAAGAACCCGGAATATCAGAAAACTGGAGCAGCTGCCAGTTACTTCCTTACCTCTCTTGTTCCTCCGTCCCAAAGGGCTGAGATCCTCTCTCCACCCCGCCTTATCACTTCCTGTTTCCTCTCTTGTACAGTCCTCCAGACATCTATAGTTAACTAGTGGCTAGCTCTGCCCTCCAACTCCAAGAAAGTTCTATTTGTCAGATACAAAGAAAATATCACGCAACTCTCTGGGCAAACAAGCACACAGGTACAAGGCTTGATGTCAGAAGCCACAGCCATGAAGTCTCAGCAACATGCCTGCCTGAGCATGAGCTGAACAGCGGCATAGGTGGCAAAGTAGAGTGGGGGCGGGGCTACCACAGGGCCTCCGCCCTACACAGAGAACCACACGCAAGTAAGAAATGCCCAGAGTGGGAGACATCGTCTTCCCTAGGGAAAACCACAGCATTTGGTTATCGGTATCAAACGGTCGGCTCTGAAAACATACGTACATACATACATACATACATGCATACATACATGCATGCATACATACATAATGTAACATATGGACTAAACAGGTTATATTTAGCAACACATATACATATATATCTAGGAAAAATATATATGCATATAACAACAATTAATGAAAAGAGAGGCCATGAATTTGAAATAGAGTAAGAAGGGGGTATATGGGAAGGTTTGAAGGGAGGAAGGAGAAGGGAAAAGGATGTAATTAGAGGGCTTTTTGTTTTGTTTTTTGTTTTTTTGAGACAGGGTTTCTCTGTATAGCTCTGGCTGTCCTGGGACTCGCTCTGTAGACCAGGCTGGCCTCGAACTCACAGAGATCCCCCTTCCTCTGGCTCCCAAGTGCTGGGATTAAAGGCGTGCACCACCACCACCTGGCTAAAGTGTAACTTCAAAAATGAAAGAAATAATAATAATGAAAGGCTGCCAGGAGATTGCAGCAGTCTCATAGTCGTGGGTTTGGAGGACCGTCATGGGACCCACAGTGGTGAGCAGCAGCTCCACTTCCTGATGTCTGTTGTGTCCAGTGATGTGTCTCGTGAGGATTCTGTGACTTATAATACCCCGAGAGGACCAGGTAGACCTGGGCACGCGTGAACGTGATGTACTGAGAAGAATGGGGTTGGTGCACAGTGGTGCTTGCTTGTTCTCCAGCACTCAGAGAATGGAGGCAGAGAGATCAGGAGTTCAATGTTACTTTAGGTACACAGTGAATTTAAAGCCAGCCTGGGATATACAACAACCCATCTTAAATAAATCTAAAAAAAGTCTATTGCCTCCCTCAATAGCAATGGCTAACAAAGAATAAACAGTAACTTCTAGTTACTCAAATGCAACAGAGCTCACTCATTGGCAATGATATGAACGTTCAAGGAGTGTCCACTGCAGCAGATAATGGGAGAGGGAATGGGTTAATAGACTTCCCGGCAAATCTGTTTACCTATCTGTTAGTTTATCTATTTATTTTTTGCTTTCTTTCTTTCTTTCCTTCCTTCCTTCCTTCCTTCCTTCCTTCCTTCCTTCCTTCCTTCCTTCCTTCCTTCTTTCTTTCTTTCTTTCTTTCTTTCTTTCTTTCTTTCTTTCTTTCTTTCTTTCTTTCTTTGAGACAGAGTTTCTCTGTGTAGCCCTGGCTGTCCTGGCACTGGCTCTATCTTCCCAAGTACTGGGACTAAGGTGTGAGCTACCATGCCCCACCCTGGCAAATGTATTTGCTACCATCTGTTCCACAGTAATGCCTTCTATTATCATTGCTTCTCCTAGAATCCAAGTTCTTCCACCTTACACACCACCCAAAGGCAACAGCAGCCAGAGTTAGAGTTGAGTGCCGTGTCTTGGTCACACCCGGCCTTCAATATAATCTTATAGCACAATCCAGCTGTGACACGAGTTCTAGTGGTCTTAGTCATGAAAGCCCAGAGTCAGATATTCGGGAGTGAAAGCCAAACGACCAGAGAAGCGAAGCAATCAGCCACTGCAGATCTTCTATGAAATCCTCAGACTGTCTCTCCCACCCATGTTCCTCTCTCCACCCAGCGCTCTCACTTCCGGCCTGTCTGGACAGACCTCCAGATCTCTGTGGTTAGCTAGTGGCTAGCTCCACCCTCTCATCTTCAGGCAAGCTTTATTTGTTGTAGAGTATAAACAAGATAGCATCACCATACTCAGCTCCATGCCTGCCCAATCCCTTCACCAGCTCTGCTTAAGATGAAGTCTCCACAATGTCCCTCTACCTAGGTGCCATTGGAGTGTGTAGCAAAGATGAAAAATGACTTAGGGTAGGATAATAAAAGATCTCTGTGCCTCAACTTCCTTATCTAGTAAAACGGGGATGAGAATAATAATGATGATGATGATAGTGTCTGTGTCCATTAATATGTGGAATGAGTTAGATACTAGGAAAGTATTCAAAAGGCGTGAGCTCTAGTCTTATCCAGCAGATTAGGAAATACTTCACTTTTACTAAGGATAGCTGAAATGAACTCTGAAGGTTACATGGAAATTAGCTGGCTCAGGTTGCAGTCTGATTAAGGGAGTTTGAAAAAGACCAAAGAACCAGAAAAGCTGTAAGTGTCTGGGAAGAGATAAGACTGAAGCCACAGAAAAGATGGGCCATGGGAAATTTGTGGCCGTGTAAGGAGCGCGGACGTGGCTCTTAAGACGCGGGAACCTATTGAACACTGTGAAACCGAATGTTAACACGGTAAATTCGGGGCTGCAGAAGCGTAATACGAGCAGCCAAGCAGAAATCTGGAGACTGCGTGGAAATGGGCAGAGAGGGAGCAGCCTGCTAATTCTGGAAGATGGCTGTGTGGAAGCCCATGGCGTTCTTCTCTTAGCGTTTACTTCCTTTGAGATTGTTTTTTTTCATCCTATGAAAATTTTAAGTCTTCCAGGTTGGGGATATAGCTCAAGGGAGAGTGCTTATTTATCAAGCAAGAGGCCGTGGAGCACTCCCCAGGGCCAGAACTGAAACACTCAGACAGTGAGTCCCTTAGGAAGCTATCACAGTAACCCAGGAAGAGATGACGATGGCTTGAGGACACTGGTGGCAGAGGATGGAGCTGGCTGAAGCCTCAGGATTTAACGGCGGGTTTCAGGGTGGGCTTCCAGGAGTGACCCCATCGTTATGACTTGCCGATGCAGACAGGTTTAATGAGATAAAATTTTTGAACAGGGGGGATCTAGAAGCGAGATAATGACTCCAGCATTAAACGCTTTACTGGATGGTGTCTAAAACACTCAGGCCCTCCAAAAAGGCCGCTGAATATCCAAGTGTTAAGTTCATTGAGAAGTTCAAGTTGTGTGTACACAGCAGCAGCAGCAGCAGCAGCAGCAGCAACAACAAACAGAAGCCACAAAGAGTGCCAAGAAAACGTCATGCTGGGAAGGGAAAGTCTCAGAGAAACCCTTAGAAAGTGGCTACCGGGTCTCAGAGGAAGACTCCTCAGCAAATAAGATGATTAAGGCTCGTATAAGAAAGGAAATGGGGGTCTCTTTCCACTGTTTAAAAAAGCAAAAACAATAAGAAAAGCGCAGGGCAAGGCCAAGGAGCCCAATTTCTGTGAGTTCAAGGCCGGTCAGGGCTACATAGTAAGACCCTGACTCAAATAAAACAAGCAAAGCTCCAGACAATTCAGAGTTGGAGGTGAGCAGCGGAAGCAAGATGGCAGGACACTGAGGGAACATGGGAACCCAGGAGGGCTGCTGGGAAGCGCAGTTCCCATGCCAATGCTGTTGTGAATTTTGTAATTTTTCTGTCTTTCAGGTCTGTGAGAAACCAGCCAGAACCACAGATGTCAATGAACTGGTTTAATTCCAAGTAAGAATGCAAACCTTGCATCTGTGAGGTTAACTGGTGATGGGTGGCCCCAGTGGCACTGTTGGGAGTGTGTGTGCCGAGTGCCAAGGAGGCAGGAAGGGGGCACTGGGTCCCCTGGAGCTGGAGTTACAGCCACCATGTGGTGCTCGTAGCAGACTGGAGTCCTCCACCATAGAGGGCTTCACGTGCTCTAACCATCAGGCCACCGGGCCCAACTCTGGGCAGTCTTGCTGCTTAAAACTTTGTCTGCAGCTGTTTCCATCAACGGAAACAGACATGACTGCTATTGTGTGTATGAAACACACTTGTACGTAAGATAATAGGCCTGCTTACATCCATTAGTCCTGCTTCCCAAGTCTGTAAGATGTCTAACTAAAGTTTCTTAAATGGTTCAGGTTTTCTGTGAAAAGTGAAGACTAGCCCTCGGTTAACTAGCCCTGACATCCCCTGTGTTTCTGTCTCAGTGTCCAAGTTCCCCAACATGCACTCTGTGGGGAGACACTCTGACAAGTGCTGTCACCCAAACTAAAATGGCTGATAATAATAGTCTTTTTCAGGCCTGAGTGTATCCTAACTATACTGTGATCAGCATTCTGAGCACAAACAGAAGTGCCCAAGCGCTTCGCATTCCAAGTCGCGCCGCTCCAGTAGGGACTAGGATTAGGGTCACCAGGAAACCCCATTCTCAGTGTGAGAATGGAACTCCTAAACCGGAAGAAGGTTTCATCCCCAGGAAGAGGGACTTAGATACAGCCCTGATCTTGAGCGCGGGACAAACCTGCACATGCACATTTCCTGGCTTTCTTTTCATGTTTTCTTAACTCTAAGTGTGTGCTTCCATGATGGCCTGGCCTGTGTGTGTGTGTGTATGTGTTTGCACACACATGTGCACACACTCATGCACACGCACATGAATGCAGTGACCATAGAGGCCAGAAGAGGGCATTGGCTCCCCTGGAACTGGAGTTACAGATGGTTGTGAGCCACTCCAGTGCGTGGTCCTCTGCAAGAACGCTGCACACTTTTAGTGGCTGGACCATCTTTCTAGGCCCTTCTTCCTTTTGTTTGACTGCTTGCGTTTTTAGAGATTTTCTTGAGACCTAGTCTCAATCTATAGCCCATGGTGGCCTTGACCTCATGGTTGTCTCGTCCTTCCGATGATTTGGCCATTTCTAATATGATGCTTCTCTGGCTTATCACAGCTGTCAAGGCTTTGAGTTAGACATGACAGGGCACTGCCTTCAGATATAAGGCTTTAGGTATTGACAGCAACCCCCCTGATGTCACCACGATGTATTTTACTTTAAAATTCTGTCTTTCTTACAGAAACAACAAGAACTCGATATACAAACGCATGAGAACTACCAGCTGGTCAGCTCCAATTGTGTGGACTGACACTTACAATGAGTCAGTCTTGAAAATGTATTATAAAAAGCACCCAGTTACTGTGGGGCTGATTGTGTTTGCAGTGGGAAGGTAGGTAATAATGTCAAGTGTCCTGTACAGTCAGGCTGTTCATTGAGGAAAGCGGGAGACAGGCTACTTCATTGAAGAAAGTGGGAGACAGGCTACTTCATTGAGGAAAGTGGGAGACAGGCTACTTCATTGAAGAAAGTGGGAGACAGGCTACTTCATTGAGGAAAGTGGGAGACAGGCTACTTCATTGAGGAAAGCGGGAGACAGGCTACTTCATTGAAGAAAGTGGGAGACAGGCTACTTCATTGAAGAAAGTGGGAGACAGGGTCCTTTAGAATTATTCTCTCTAAGCCAATTCTTGCCACAATTCAAATTAGCACCCACTTGGACCACAGGAAAGCATCGCAATTCCTTGGTTTCCTTTTATGATCTGATTTCATGGTCTTCTCTCCAATATTAACATAACTTCATGGGTCTTTTGCCAATCATCTTAATACAAGTTTATACCTCTTTTATAACCATTCTTCATTATCTCTGCACTTAATCCAGTAATTTCCTATCTCCTCTGTACCCCCAGGAGATAAATAATTGTCTTCAGAAAATCCCACTTAACCCTGAATATTGACTTTAAGAGGAACGTACCAAAATAAGATAGCTGCAATTTTATGCAGCAGGATTTTTTTATATGCTACATTTTTATGACCACTAATCATAAAGTTAAAAAAACAAGCATATAGCCAGAGGTGATGGTGCATGCCTTTAATCCCAGAGTTTGGGAGGCAGAGGCAGGAAGATGTTTGTGAGTTTGAGGACAGTCTGGTCTACAGAGTTCTAGGATAGCCAAGGCTACACAGAGAAAGCCTGTCTGGAAAAACCAAACTCAAACAACCCCCAAAACAAATAAAAATCATCCAGTAATTAAAAACAAATGCAAATCTATGCTGAATTCCCAATCAAACAGGAAACCAAAGCCATAAGTCGACCACTCAAAAGGGAAAGCAAATGCAATGAAGATTTCCATTTAAAGACAGAGAGGTGTGGACCCTGTGTTGAACTGCTGTCTTCTGAAATTCTATAGACAATAAATATTGATACACACACATACACACTCACACACACACATGGGGGGCTTTGGGTTTCGTGAAGTTGGGATATACTGCAATCAAACACAACATTTTTGAAGACTTTGCAGACATAAAGCATAGGAGACATCAAGTTGGGCATATGTATGTATACAGTCCTCAGACTTCATAGTGTGTATCAAACGTCTGAAATGTGTTGAAGAGCTCTGAAGCTGCCAGTGGGGTTCAGAGGCTCCACACAAGCAACGTTGCTCTGGAGGGACAGATGCAGTCTCAGCATCTTTGCTCAGGGTTGTAAGCTTAGAGATGCCAGTCTCATCTATTGTACATATTGAATATTACAAAAATCTGTATAGAACAGTCCAGGCAACAAGCATTCTCTCTAGGTATATGACATATTCTCTGTAGTAGACAATGTTTAGACCACAAGAAAAATAAATGATGAAACTGAAATTGAACCAAATGTCTTCTATGATCATATTGGATCAATTATAGGATAACATAAGGGAAATTCACAAATGTGTGAACATTGTATTAAACACCACAACATTTTGCATTTAGCTTACAAAATAATGAATTTCATTATGACACTTTCATGCATGTATGTCATTGTACTATGTTCATAGTCACCTCTCATTATTCTATCCTGCCATCCTACCCCATTATATTCTAATTCTGCATATGAAATCAAACATGCAACATGTATTTTTCTTCTCTATCATGCCCTCTTGTTTTCCTCTCTCCTCCCATTAGTCCTTTTTCCAAATCTTTTTATGTGTGTACCACCATATCCAACCTTATTATACTTCTTTATCCACTAATCTGAATGACACACTCTTAAATATCCAACAAGTCAAGACTGGGGTTGTAGCTCAATTAGGAGCGTGCTTGCCTGGCACTCCATGTGATTCTGTCTTAGGGAAAAAAATGAGGGGTCTCATAAGTCCCTGGGTTTGAACTGCAGGACCACACATGCACATGTAGATATGAATACATAACCTAATCTTTATTTTAAGAAACTGGATAAAGAAGAGCAAACAAACTAAGACAAGCAAAAATCAAAATAAATAAATATTGGAGTGAAGTTAAAGCCAAAATTAGTCCTTTACAAAAGGTCAATAAAATAGACAAACCATTGAAAAAAAGAAACAGATTAAGAAAGACCATGACAAGTATCTGAGCAAGAGCTTCAGAACCACAGGCGTTCTGATGTAGGTCAGAGGAGAGCAGGCAGCTGGCAAGACTAAGGCCATTGTGTGCCTGAGCTGAATCAGGGCAACTGAAGTGACTCTTACGAGATAAAACTTGGGAAATCAGGACGAAATCTGCAGTTCAGCCAATAGTACATTCCAGCTGATGGCCTCCTCATTTGGACAAAGGCACGGTGGCTGCAGGGGACGTTAAGAATAGCTAGATGGTATAAATGGGAGCTTCTCTAGCGTTCAGTGAAACTTTTCTGTAAATCTAAAACATTCAAAAGTAGAAGCTTTTGCTTCACTGGAAAACATTTGTCCTACATTTTGCAAAGAGAGAAGATATGCGTTTGAGAGGACAAGATGTGTTTGAGTGACATGAAGATGACTGTGGGTGGAAATGGCCAAAGAAATCTTGAGGTAGAAATGGGAAATAAAAATGATGGCAGGTGTTGCTTCAGAGAGTACTCCATGGTCACCACCAATGACAGAAATGGCCAAAGACAGCTTGATTGCCCATTATTTTGAGGGCAGAGAAATTACTATGAGGCAGTGATAACAAGAAATGTACTGCAAAGATCCAGGAAGACGGAATGACATCATGTGTGTGTGACCTCAAGACTGTCTCTTAATTGTTGGACTCAGCTTCCAGTTTGTAGTTACTAATGAGACTGGGTGACTACACCATCTTAATTGATATCACATCAGGGCTTTACGTGATCAAATGAATGGACCTCCCTTTTAAAAATGTTATACACCGCTTCATATGGATTCCCTTGAATTTGATTGACAGCACCCAGCATAGTATGACTTCAGTGATGCTTTTCACACTTCTCAAATAATATTAGATGTGATGAACTACATTTTCTCCTGATGGTTAGTTATGATTTATTATTAGCCCATTTCTCAAAGTGTAGGCCAATATCCAGGACTTATTTCTAAGGATTACATAAGCATTACTGGAGTGGAGCCCCAAATGGCTACCTTTCCTCTTCCAAACTTCTCTGAGTCCATTCATTACCCCGAGAATCTCTTTATGCTTTCTGAGAGTGGAAATGAGAAAATGTTTTCCAGCCCAGTGATTCTGCTACCACAGTAAGGTTCACAATACAGAACAATGCAGACAGCAGAGCACCAACTACTGCACTGACTTTGCACGCTTAGCCAACCATGCATAGAAAGGCATAGAAGCCAGGCAGAGACCCCGCCCCCCCCAACATTCCCTGCTGCATTGACCCTGCAACCCTGAACTCTGGCTTTCACTTTGCACACAGCCAAAAATGAGCCTCCTTCCCTCACTAATTTTCATTCCTTCTTCCGAAGAGCTCTTCCATTCTGTGACCTATGGTCCCTGTCCTGTCACTTTCTCCTATACTGCTCAAAGAGACTAGTGTAGTGGGAATTCGTTCCACCAACAGATTTGGAGTACCGGCCTGAGGGTGTGGCTTCGGTGTGCAGACATGATTCCTTATAAGGAAGAAGAGGGGTCTGGCTCGACCTGTCTTGGGTGATGGTCTGAGCATCCCGCATCACAGCATCCTGCTCCTCTAGGTGCAGAAGACCAGGGCACGCTTTACCTTAATTGTGTGAGTGCTCCCCAAATAAGTATCTGTTATTCTTTTATTTAGGCATTCATGGCCTTCCTCAACCCCCCTTACTTGGCACCCAACATACCAAACCCCAGTGGGCCCCACAGCCCAGCCCTGCGCCTGAGGGCTCTAAGATAGAGTTGGCTATCTGGTTGCTTAGTCGCATTGCTAGATAAGCTAGGACCAGGCAACTGAGACTCTGTATGTTCCACCAAAACCGGAGGATGAAACTCAACTGCTTCATATTTATTTTGCAGTTACCTTTGGTACTACTTGGGAAACTTTCTGACATCTGCTAATACATTCTTCATGGTCGACCAGAGGGTCATCATTTATGTCATGTTGGATGATTTTGCCTTTATGCCATTGATAAATCTGAATCGTCTGCGGACGTTAAAAGTTTTTAAAGTTAAACGGCAGAAGAGGTGGCAGGATATCAGCATGATGCGCATGAAGATCATCAGTGAACACATCACAGATCACATACAGTATGAGGTCGACTATGTCTTCTGCATGGATGTGGATCAAACATTCAAAAGCAGCTACGGGTTGGAGACCCTGGGAGACTCTGTAGCTCAGCTACACACCTATTGGTATCGGGAAGACCCTGACCTAGTGCCTTTTGAAAGAAACGAGTCATCAGACGCTTACATACCAATGGGGGAGGGAGATTTTTATTACCATGCTGCTGTTTTTGGAGGCACAGCCTCCCAGGTTCTCAAGATTACTAAAGAGTGTGCCAAAGGGATTATGAATGATAAGAAAAATAATATTGAAGCAATTTGGCATGACGAAAGCCATTTAAACAAGTATTTCTTTCTCCATAAACCCACTAAACTCTTGTCACCAGAATTTTGCTGGGATTTACGTAAGAGTAAGACTGATGATATCAAGACTGTTAAACTTTCTTGGAGCTTTAAGAATTATGATTATCTTAGACAGCAAATATAATTTTATGGCCCTTTCCTCATATTCCTGAGTTGAAGAGTATCGGTTTTCTTGGAAAATTAGTACCTGGCATGTTTTAGCAATAAAGCTTCATTACTAAGTGGCAAGTCCACCAACAGTGAACTCTTCAGCTCACATTCATCTTGAATGATGTAATAAGAGATATAGTGCACCCAGGTGAGTCTGCTGGAAGCAGATGGAGAGGCAGTAATTTCACATCTTGTGTGAATGTTGCAAACATAATATGCTAGCTCATGATGGAACAGGATAGATTCTGAAACTAGAAAAGGAAACTAAATTTCCCAGTTGATGAGATCCATGGTCTTGTGGCTGCTTTCTTCAGTACATAGGCATCGCTATCTTGACTCAGAGAAGCTGTGGTCATTTTTGAGACCATCACAAGGTAGGGTCCATTAACATTCCCTCATGGGATTCATGAGTCTAGTCCCTGTCCCCCAAGATACACAAATGGTTAATAGTTGCTGAAAAAGGAAGAGGTTTCTGTCATTGTAACTAAACCATAAATTGTCCACACTTCTTGTAACATCAATAAACTCTCTGGTTCACTAAGATAGACTGGAGTAGAATAATTTCTTTGGTCTGCTGTTATCTCCTTTATCTAGGATTAATTATATGCAGACTTCCTGGGAAACATCTTGTAACATTGGGTATCTTGATAGAAACACAACAGAACCAAAGTTGAGTCTTGGAGGTGCAGTTGCATGGCCCTGTCACAGCAGTTAGTCATGCAGTTGAGGTTGAGATCTGAGGGTGGAATGTCTTCAGGACTATTCAGAAGGAACACCTCCAGGCGGTATGTGGTGGTGTGCCTGCTGTGGACTGTAAGACATGCAGCTGAGGCTGAGGAGATGGGGGATTCCAGAGTGGGTGTCTTTATGTGATGCAGAATGGCGTTGGCCATGAGACTGTGGGGGTGTCCCCAAAACGGCTGATGGGCTAAAGAATGTATTGAAACCCTGAAAATGGTACACATGGGATGAGAGCACAGGCATGCTGTGGCAGCAGTTACATGGCCTCTGCTGTGTGTGGCGAGAGGTGACCGAGGTAGAGCTGTCTGCTTGGAAAGAACTTGCCTGCAAAGAGGAGTTACAGTAGGGAAAGTACATGGAGATGCTGTTCTCTGCCTTAGCCTCTGAGGGTTGTCAGTAAAATACAGAAAGGGAGATCCTGATGTCAGATATATATGTATTTATTTGTTTACTTATTGTGTGTGTGTGAGAGGGGGGGAGGGAGAGGGACAGGGGGAGGGGGGAGGGGAGGGAGAACATGCATCTCTTCTTCCTCCACAGTGAGTTCTTGAGCTAAAACTGAGGTTATCAAGCTTGTGTGGCAAACATTTTCGTCATTAGGCTGTCTCAAAAGCCCACATCTAACTATTAATACTATTAATACAGACAAAGGAAATATCCAGGGCTCCGTCTTAGTGAGATAATATTAGGAGCTATAATATTCAGGATCTGGCCAGGACATCTGGGTGTTTAAAACTAGGAGTCTCTAGGGTACAATTGTTTACAAAGATGATGGAATTTATCTTACATATAACCGTAGGAACTAGTCCTCCAGATCATGAGACACAGCACCAGAGAACGTCTAATCCAACATGGTGTTTCTTAGAGCAGCCGAGGCACAGGAGGAATGTCTGGAGATAGAAAACCAACACATGATTATATTTGTAAATGAGATATGGCTCACTCCTAGAAAGGAATGAAATGTGTCTGTATAAGGTGTCATGGACTGATCTTCAAACTACCCTGAGACAGTGAGAGTGACAGCTCACGATTGTAGCCCCATGTTGCAAAAAAGAAGCCATGCATTTAAAATAGATGTGCCTGCATGGACAAAGAGAAACATAGAATAAAACCCAGGAAGCCCATAACAGTGTCTGATTCTGGGGATAGAGGGCAATGACAAGGGTCAGTGCTAAGCAGAAGACGACTCAATGTGTGTCAAATCTTTTTATACTCTAATTCTTTATCATGTGCACATACATATGTGTAGTCGGTTTCTTTCCCTCCTGGGCCAGCAGCCATTTAGCCCCAAATGAACTCTCAGAGGCTTCTATTAATTATAATCTGTTGGCTGATGGCTCAGGCTTCTTACTGGCTAGCTCTCTCTTAATTATTAACCCATAACTACTAATCTATGTATTTTACGTGGTTTTATCTTACTGGAGGACTTCTGGCATCCTATCTTCCCAACAGCTACATGGTGTCTCCCTCTGGTGGCTTCTCTCTTTCCTCTACCCAGCACAAATGTTTGCATCTCTTTCAGTAACAAATGCAAACTTAGTTTTAAAGGTGAGGGGAAAAATAAAGGTTCTTGTAATCTCAAATTTTGTGTGACTGCCTCAGTTAGTGTAATGGTGTAATTACATTTGCTATCTTTTCCTTGTGCTTTTATGCACTTGATATTTAATGACCTGAAAATGTGATATTTTTATAATCAGGAAAATAAGCAGCTGGGTGGTGGAGGAGCACACCTTTAATCCCAACAGTTGGGAGGCAGAGGCAGGTGGATTTCTGTGAGTTCAAGCCAAGCCTGGTCTACAGAGTGAGTTCCAGGACAGCCACGGCTACACAGAGAATCCCTGCTTCTGGGGTGGGGGAAAGAAAACAAGCACCATGAATATGTCATGAAAAGGAATAAGATGGGACTAGCTCTGCCTGAGTAACAATGTCTGAAAAGCACAGGGAAATGGTTGTCATTTTTGTCATCCATACACATAATTCAAAGTACATGTCCGTAAGTAAATATTATAAAGAAAGCAATGGGAATTCAAATCAGAATTGTTTTTTAAAAAAAAACTTTTCAAGCTTTTCAGATGAGACAAAGTTCTGTTTTTGGTAGCCATAAGGATAACGTGTTACCTAAGGTGTCATTGTGACAGCAGCTTCTAATGCTTCCATCATCCAGAGAATTTGGTGAAGTCACCAGGAAGAGAAGACTTGGCGACAGAAGAGACCGCACAGGACCTGACTTGGAGTTTTTTGTTTTTTTGTTTTTGTTTTTGCTTTTGTTTTTTCCTACTATTCCTCTTTATCAAAACCAAAGGTAAAGTCACTCTTAGGGAAGGAATGTATAAAATTTTAGATTATCATGGTAAAAATAGTAGCTGGTCATCATTCCCAAATATTGGCCTAAAAACTATATTATACAGAACAATAAGTGATATATTCAATATATTCCTGAATTCTGAGAATAATGTCATTACAGGCACATAGATAGGAAATCATTCAAACTTTGTTCCAACTAATCTTGAGCTGAAATAGTGAACATTTTACATTGTCGTTGGGACATGGAGCTATGCTCTGTATAGTATTACCTGAAAAAAAGACCTTTCCAATAAAAATATGTCACATTTGTCACCTTAAATACTTGAGGGAACACGGTATAAAGAGGTACAAAGAAACAGATGAGACATTTGTCAAATATTTTCTTTAGCCCATGTTTCCAAAATGTCATCTCAACTTTGATTAATACTAAAAAAAAAATAAAATATCCTAAATCCCTGCCCCCCTCCATGGTCTCTCCATAGAGCTCTGGCTGTCCTGGAACTCACTATGCAGACCGACCAAGTTGGCCTCAAACTCAGAGCTCTGTCTGTCCCTGCATCCCAAGTGCTCAGATTAAAGGTGTGTGCCACTATGCCCTGTTTTCAAACTCTACTTTTTAGACCTTGAGTGGGTCACACACTCACTACTCGTGGGACTGGTGACCGTTCCAGCACCCAGAGGCAAGACCTACTTTTGAATGATGCCTGCCAAAACCCAGTTTGTGTGCAGCTATCAAGACTGCTGGTTACACACCGTGCTTTGTGGGTGCGTAATGCTTTTATTTGGACGTTCACTGTAAGGATATGCCTGAGTCTCGTATGCCTATGAGGCAGTGTGTGTATTTTGAGGTGGTTAGTCCTGAGGTCTTTGAGCCTATTTTTGGCTTTACTATTTTTGTGATATACTTAGTTCAACAGTACAGCAACCTGGGATCAGACATTGAAGCTGGTGGACAAATTTCTACAGATTGGAAGATACTAAAGAAAGTTGTTTTTTTTTTTTTATTTTTGAACCTTTACTGAAATATCGTTTTCTTCTCTTTTTTTATTTTTAGGAGGGAATGAATTTTAAAAGAAAAATGCTGTCACTAATCTTGCTTGCTTTATTGCTGGCATTGTCTAAGCACCACCACAGGTAAATAAGAAACCCTGCTGCATCTTAGACACTAATGATTGGGATAGCTGAAAAAGGCTTCTGCCCAGACATTCAAGCACTCTCCAGTTTAACTTCAGGAGAAAGTGGTTTTTCTTTGGTGAACATATACATTAAGTCTTTCATTTTTTTTTTCAACTTTGAAGACGATTGAGCAACACCAGGCCATGGTGGTGCATACGTTGAGGCAGAAGCAGGTTAATGTTTGTGAGTTCAGGGCCAGCCTGGCCTGCAGAGTGAGTTCCAGGACTACCAGAGCTACACAGAGAAACCCTGTCTCAAAATACACATACACACACACACACAAACACACACACACACACACACACACACACCAACAACAACAACAACAACAAAACCCCACCTTCTCTGCTAACTACTTTAGCTTGAAATTCAGTCCAGTCTCTTCATTTCTCTTCTGAGTCTGTCTCCTCAGCGTGTAACACAGAAACACCTTTTACAATGGCGGCTGGCTTACTTTTTTAAGAAAACAATTAAAAGTTCTGGTCATTGTGAATGAGATTAATACAGCTACCTGCATAGGCCACACTTGGGAAATGTGTTAACATTCCCTCATACTGAAAAATATGGATTCTCATCTCCTCCTACCCTACTCTCCATAGTGTAAGGGACCCAATGATGCCAGAGGCTGTTTGAAAAGCAGCTGCATGGGGTAGTAATGTCTTTAAAGTTAACCCTTTGGTTTGGCACCCTAAGTTACATTTATTTGTCCTCCAGAGTTACTGTATTTTAATAAAGGAGATTTACAGCTAGGCATTATAGTCTGTTATCTTTTTTTGTTTGAATGGTTGGGGTTTTTGTTGTTTGTTTGTTTGTTTCTCGAGACAGGGTTTTCTGTGTAACTTTGGAACCTGTACTAGAACTCATTCTGTAGGCCAGGTTGGCCTCGAATTCACAATGCCTCTGCCTCCAGAGTGCTGAGACTAAATGCATGTGCCACCACTGCCCAGCTAAGGTTATTTTTTTTAAGACAATACTGGCCCACAAGCTACTAGCACACCTTTATTTGTTATATATTTCATAGCCTTAAATCTGGCACAGAGTGAGTGTTTAGTGTATACAAACAGGTAAAAGGAGGAATTTCAACTAGAGGTTTTTTTGCCATTTTCATTATTTATAGGCATTTTTCAAATTTAAAACTAAATTGGCTCTTTTTTGTTTACTTAAAGAATAAAGAATCAACTGCAGAAGATGTACATCTGTTGGTAAGAGTCTGTCCCATGACTATTACAGAAGGGTGGAGGCAAAGTGCTTTCTAGTGGAGACGCTGTGGAGAGAAGAACCGTTTTGTCACCGACTTAAATAAGCATCCCTGTCCAAGACAGTGTTGTTTCTTTAGACGGTGTCAGCGCTCTGTAATCACAGGGTCCACAGCCCGGTTCCTACCGTTCACAACCATGTAGGAGACCAAGACTGAGAAATCAACCCTCCAGAGAACAGACTCCCTTTTTTTTTCTAAATTTTCTTTTATTTATTTTTTAATTTTTTAACTTTTAAATTAATTTATTTTTTTACATTCCAATCCGAGTTCCCGCTCCCTCCTCTTCTCCCACTCTCCCCCTCCTCCCCCTCCTCCCATCGGCTCTCAGAGAGGGTAAGGCCTCCCTTAGGTAGTCTACTAAGTCTGTCCATCATCTCATTGAGGCCGGACCAAGGCACCTCTCCTGTGTCTAGGCTGAGCATATAGAATGGGCTCCACTAAGTCAATTTGGGCATTGATGTTAGATCTTGGACCCACTGCCAGTGGCCTCATACATTATCCCAGTCAACCATTGTCACCTATATTAAGGGAGTCTAGTTCAGGTTCCCCATTTGTCAGACCTGAGTCAGTGATTCTGGTCGGGTCAGTTGATTCTGTGTGTTTCCCCATCATGGTCTTGACTCCTCTGTTCAGATTATGGCTCCTCCCTCACTTTGATTGCACTCCAGGAGCTTAGTCCATTGGTTAGTTGTGGATTTCTGCATCTGTTTCTGGAAGAGGGTTCAAGCTTCTCTGGGGTATGGATTGTAGGTTGGGTATCTTTTGCTTTATGTCTGGTATCCACTTATGAGTGAGTACATACTACATTTGTCTTTCTGGATCTGGGTTACCTCACACAGGATGTTTTTTTTCCCTAGTTCTGCCCATTTGCCTGCAAATTTTAGGATGTCATAACCTCTGTTAGTTCCCTTATTTCTCTGTTAAGTTTCTGCCTGGCAGACCTGTCCGCTGTGAGAGTGGGGTGTTGAAGGCTTGATTTGTGATTTAAGCTTTAGTAATGTTTCTTTTAAAAATGCAGTAGCACGCCGGGCGGTGGTGGCGCACATCTTTAATCCCAGCACTCGGGAGGCAGAGGCAGGTGGATCTCTGTGAGTTCGAGGCCAGGCTGGACCGACAGCCTCCAAAACAATACAGAGAAACTCGTAAAAACAAAAAAAAATGCAGTAGCCCTTGTGTTTGGGGCATAGATTCTAATTGAGATTTCCTCTTGATGGATTTTTCCTGTGATGAATATGAAGTGTACCCTTCTTTATCTTTTTTGATTGATTTTAGTTTGAATGAAGTCTATGTTGTTAGATGTTAGGATAGCTACATCAGATTGTTTCTTAGGTCCATTGGATCAGAAATTTTTTTCCCAACCTTTTACTCTGAGGCAATGTCTGTCTGTGAGGTTGCGGTGTGTTTCTTGTATGCAGCAGAAGGATGAATTCTATTTTCGTATCTAATTTATTAGCCTGTGTCTTCTTATAGGTGAATCGAGAGCATTTATATAATGGATATTAATGACCAGTGACTGCTGGTTCCTGTTAGTTTTGTTTATGTCGTTGGTGATGGCATTGTGTGTTCAGTGCCCATCACTGGGATTTGCTGCTGTAAGCTCATCTATTTCCTGTGTTCTTGTGGATGTAGCTGACTTCCTTGGGTTGGCGTTTTCCTTTTAGTACTTTCTGTAGGGTTGGGTTTATGGATAGGTATTGTTTAAATTTGGTTTTATCATGGAATATTTTGTTTTCTCTATCTGTGGTTATTGAAAGCTTTTCTGGGTAAAGTAGGCTGGGCTATCATCCATTGTCCCTTAGTGTCTGCATAATGTCTGTCCAGGACCTTCGGGCTTTCACTGTTTCCTCTGAGAAGTCAGGTGTAATTCTGAAAGGTTTGCTTTACATGTTACCTGGCCTTTCTCTTTTGCAGCTCTTAATATTTTTATTCTGTTTGTTTATTTTTTTTTTTTTGGTCCAGTTTATTTGGTGTTCTGTAAGCTTCTTGTACTTTCATTGGCATGTCTTCCTTTAGGTTAAGAAAGTTTTCTTCTATGATTTTGATGAATATATTTCCTGTGCCTTTGAGTTGGACTTCTTCTTCTGTTCCTATTATTCTTAGGTTCAGTCTTTTTATGGTGTCCCAAATTCCTGCATGTTTTGTGCTGAGGATTTGTTGGATTTAACATTTTCTGTGACTGATGAATCTATTTCCTCTATTATATCTTCAAAACCTGAAATTCTCTCTTCCATCTCTTGTATTCTGTTGTTTATGCTTGCATTTGTGGTTCCTGATAGTCTACCCAGATTTTCTATTTCTAGAATTCCCTCAGTTTGTGTTTTCTTTATTGCCTCTATTTCAGATTTCAAGTCATGAATCATTTCCTTCACTTGTTTGATTGCTTTTTCTTGGTTTTCGTTAAGGGTTTTCTTACAGCTTTTTATTTGTATTTTCCTCCATTTCTTTCAGGGCATTTTTCATTTCCTCCTGAAGGGCCTCCATCATCCTCATAAAGTTATTTTTTAGGTTGTTTTCTTCTGCTTCATCTGTGTTGGGATGCTCAGGTCTTGCTGTTGCTGCACCACTAGTTTCTACAGTGTAATATGACTCTTCATATTGTTGAGTGTGTTCTTACCTCGTTGTCTATGCATCTCTTCCTCTAATGGGTATAGATGGAGCTTGTGCTTCAAGGGTTCTCTCCTCCAGTTGGTATAGTTGGGGGATGTGGCTCCATTGATCGCTCCTTCAGGCACAAACAGAGCAGAGCCTCTGGTGAATGTTCCTCCCGGTGGAAGTAGGTTCAGGGCTCAGGTGGTCAGTCCATGAGGTGCAGGTGGTGCTACAGCTCCAGGGAACGCTCCTCCCATTGGAGGTGGTGCCGTGACTCTGGTGATTGCTCCTCTAGGTGTGGGTGGGGCTGAAGGTACAGTGGTCACTGTGGCAGTGGGTTATCTCCAACTGAGAAATGGCAGTGGATGCTGGCTGGGACACAGATGCTCTTTCGATAGTTCCTGAAAGCTACCTTTGGAAATCACTGCTGTCATCTCACCCGGTGGCTGCTCCCTGTTCCTGGGCCTGAGGCTCACTGCTCCCTCTAACACAGCTGAAGCTTGGGCCTCCTTCTGACCAGCAGACTCCTTTTTTTACCTTACAGGTTCTTCGCATGCACATCAGGCTTCCAATTTCGTGTGTTTATGAGATCCCTGTGTGTGCAAAAATGGTCTGTGTCTGTATGTTTCCCGTGCTTTTTCTTAGGCTCTTTTCCTTCTGTCTGCTTGTCTTGTCCTATTTTGATTTGTTTGGTTTTGTTTAAATGTATTTCTTTCTTCTTTTTTGTTTTGGTATTTCGATAACAGGGTTTCTCTGTGTAGCTTTGTAGACCAGGCTGGCCTCAAACTTGTAGAGATCTGCCTGCCTCTGCCTCACCAGTGCTGGAATATAAGACGTGGGCCACCATCGCCCAGCTAATTTATTACTATTCTTTAGGGGCTTGTTTGTTTTCTAACCAGAGATAGAAAAGGTGTGGATCCAAATGGGAGGGGAGGTGGGCAGGAATGCAGAGGAATTGGGAAAGGGGAAACCATAATCAGAATATATTGTATGCAAAAGGAATCTATTTTCTTTTTGAGGGGTGTGTTTTGGTTTGTTTGTTTGGTTGGTTTTTATTTTTATAGCACGGTTTCTCTGTGTAACTCCGACTATCCTGGAACTTGTTCTGCAGACCAGGTTGGCCTTGAACTCAGAGGTCTGCCTGCCTCTGCCTCCTGAGTGCTGAGATTAAAGGCATGGGCCACTACCACCCAGCCTAAAACCTATTTTCAATAAAAGAAAAATAGAAAAAAAATCTCGAATCCATGTTGCTTAAAAATATATACAATTAGTTTTATGTAAAAAAAAAAGAAATTCACTGTTACTACACATTTTAATGAATTTAGGCAAAAAATAATTTGGATGTTGAAAAAAACACCTTCCTGGGAAATCGCATAATGAAATATCTTTGGCTAAAGACATCTCTGAAAATAACAGGATGATCTCTTTATGATCTTCCATTTTATTTCAAAATAACGATTGCTCACAGGAAGTTGCATAGAAGTCATGTGTCCCTGTCACCTGACCCTCCTCTGATGATCCCCAGTGTTACAGCTTATGCATCTGTACTCAGAATCTGGAAATTGATGCTGAGACAAGGGGCATAGTGAGTTCTGCCTTTTTGTCACACGTAGAGATACATACAATCACAACACCAATCAAGATCTGCTACCCTCCTGTCCCGGATCCTGCTTCATCCCTGGTCCCAATACTAAGCATTTTGTCATTTTGAGACTTATAAATAGGATCATAAAATATATTATATACTGATAAAAGAGTTTGTCACTCAGCATGGTGCCCTTGAGATCTAAGTAGTTGTGTTTACTAACAGTCTGTATCTTTTTACTGGTATATACTTCATACGTAGCAAAGCTTACTGGAGACATTTTAATTAACAGGCTTTTTCCCCAAAAAAATTTAATCTAGAAAATATTGTGTTGTTTACTTTTGGCCTCTGTGGTTCCTGATGAGAAATTCACTTGTTGGTTTGTTTGTTTGTTTGTTTGTTTGTTTTGTTGTTGTTGTTGTTTTTTTCCCCTCTTCAATAGGTGAAGGATCATTTCTCTCTGGCTTCTTGCAAGATATTTTTCCCTAGTTTTCAATTCAAATAGAATCTTAAATCTGTTTCTCTTTTGCCATATTTGGGGATACTTCAGTTTTGTTTTGTTTTTTAACCACTATTTGCCGTAATGAAACACTCTGACCAAAAGCAACTTGAAGACAAAAGGGTTTATTTGGCTTACAGTAGTTCATCAGGATCACCAGCCCAGGGATGGCTCCACCCACAATAGGCTGGGCCCTCCCCCTCAATCACTAGTTAAGAAAATGCCCTGCAACCTGATCTTACAGAGGCATTTTCACAACTGAGGCTCCTCTTTTCAAATGACTCTAGCCTGTGTCAAGCTGATGAAAACTCTCCATCTCTCCCTGGAGAGTACAGTACCATCTCCCTCTCCTCTCCTTTAGAGACTCCAATCACACAAGTGTTGTCTTGTTACGGCCCACTCCATCTCTTTTGTTTTTAGTTTTTGTCTCTGTTGTTCAAACTAAGTGGTTTCTGATAGCCTGTCTAACAGTTTGATGGGTCTTTGAGTGATTTCTCCACACCCCCACCCTGCTGTTGAGTCTACCCTTTGAATGATTTCTATCCGCATGCTGCTGTTCAGCCCACCCACTGAGTCATCTCCTTTTGGGGGTATTGATAAGATTTTCTATTTCTGTTTCTTTGCACCAAACTGTGCCTGTCATATAAGAGAGCTGACTCCTGATGCGAGTCTTCTCTTTGTACCTAGGAATGATCATTTGGAAGAACCTCAGCTCTCAGCCTGGTTTGATCCAAAGTAAGAACAAAACAATAATGTAATTCAGTTTGAAGAAAATGCTCTTCTTTTATCAAACTGTAGATACTCAAAACACTAGAACCAAGTTCTCATTGTTTCTGGATATTTTAAGATTTCTTTCATGTTTATGGTCTACTTCTCAAGAATCACACAGTTAAGAAGGCTGTCATATTTTACTTGGATTATCATTCCTGGTATTATTGTGGAGAAAACATCTTTAGGTTCAACCTAAATATGCCAATATTGATTCCTCTAAATTTTAATTTATTATCACAATAATTATCATATTAATTATATAAATGAATAAGTTTCTCTGTGACATTTCCGTGGATGCAAACATGATGTTTTGCTCGTGACAATTCTCTCTACCATCCTCATTTGGCATTAACATTCTGGTGAGATCATTATTCTCTTGTAATGGCTGTGTGATATTATATTTATATAGTATAAACATGTTTATAAAATGTCTATAGTGCATTTATGCATTTCACTGAAATTCTGTGATATTTACCATCTAGGGGCTATTATATTCCAACAAATATACGTGTGTGTGTGTGTGTGTGTGTGTGTGTGTGTGTGTGTGTGTGTGTGTGTGTGTGTGTGTCCGCACATGTGTATTAACAGTATGGATGCCTCATAGCAGTCACTTACTGGGATAAAGGCTCCAGATTTCAAGGACTGGGAATTGGTTCTGTGTGGTGAAGTGGGTGCTGCATGAACATGAGGACCAGAGTTTGCATCTCCAGCATTCACAGAAATACTGGGTGTGTGGGGAACCAGCTTGTCTCTGTACTCAGAAAGTGGAGGAGGGGGATCCCTGGAGCAGGCTGGCTAGCTAAACTCCCCTAATTGGTAAGCTCTGGATTCAAGTGAAAGTCATCTTTGATACATAAAGGGGGGGGGGTAACTGAGGAAGACACCCCATGCCAATCTCTAGCCTCCACATGCAATGCACAGACATGAGCCCACATACTTGTAAGCTTGCATACACACATGCCTGCAGGTCACACACATATTACAAAAGAAAAATAAAGCAACTAAATAGGAACTGGAGAGATGTCTCTGCAGAGGACCTAGGATTGAGTCCCAGAACCTACATGCAGCTCACACCCAGATATAACTCCAATTCCAGGGGAGTCCTTGCCCTTTTGGGGCCTCTGTGGGTACTAGGCATGCACGTGGTACACATATATGTATGTAGACAAAACACACTTAGGAAATTAAACTAAGTAGTGAAAAGATACGCATTTAAATGTTTGATTTAGGCTACTCAATGACATTGAACTATTTATACCACTTATTTTCCAATCTGTAGTGGGTAGATTACCAGTAATGTTTTGTTTATGTATTTACTTGTCATTAGTTTTATAATATCAAATACTTCATTCTTGGCTATGAACACACATAGGCCTAGAGAAGCAAAGGTAGGGATGGCTTTAAGAGATCAGGAATTGCCAGAACTGTGAAAGAGGAGCCATCCCAAACAGTAGTCATGGAGGGACATGGCTGTCCAGCAAAAGTGGAAGAGAAGAAGACGGGCATCATGACCTCTCTCACTTCCTGCCCTTTGACCCTTCGTTGGTATCTCTCATTTGTAGAAGCCACAGAACAAAGGACTTGGGGAAAACAATCTACTCCCAGAGTGGAGAAGGGATGAGGATAGGTAAAAAGATAAACAGAAAACAGCTAGCACAATCCTATCCTTCTACAAACTGACATTGTCTCTCAAGACTTTCACTAACATGGAGAAACTCATGTCCCCAAGCAGGACAAGCGTAAAGTTCCATCAACTGCACCATCATAAAATAGCCATCACCGATACTCACCCCCACAAAGGAGCAGAGAAAGGGGAGAAAATAAAATAATTTACATAACAAATCACTGTTACCATCCTATCACAACAGCCATTAGGGAGATAGATAATAAATGGAGTAGATAACAGTCAATCGATGGCTTCCTTATCCTCTACTGATATGCTGTGGGCCAATGACCTGACCACCTCCTTTCCCGACAACTCTGAGTCCCTTGATGGTGTGGCCCTACCGAGGTGCCACAGTTTCCCAAGAACCATTGTTACTGGAAACGAGAATATAAACACTATCCCATAGAATTTTTGGGTTCTTTGGACGCCAGTTCTCCTTGCTGTCATTTTTGCAATAGCAATTTTCATTTCCTTGGTAATGAGAATAATTTTCCCAATCAGGTATTAATGATATTTTTACCTTTTAATTCAACAACTGAGAAAACTCAAATGACCAGTGATTTTATTTCCTGAGGAATGCATTCCTCCCTTGTGAACTAGTATGTGTCAACACATGGAATCTAGACGCTATAAACATACAGAGCAAATACTCTATAAATGCATTATCTAATGTAGTCAAGAGCTGGACACTTACCCATATCCACCTACCCTTATAGACTGTGTACTTCAGCTTTGGAAAACATGTCATTTGGAAAAAAAAAAACCTGCTCACTGATTCCGAGCACTCCAGGGGTGGCACCCCAACCTTGTACAGAATTAGCTTTAAACTTATAATGAAATGAAGATTTAGGGTAGGCTAGCTACTTCTGAACAGACAGACACATAGTAAGGACAGAGACTGTGGTTGTCCTCCTGTATGCTGTGAATATGTTTTATTATTATTGGTTAGTAAAGAAGCTGATTTAGCCAATAATCAGTCAGAATACAGCCAGGCAGGAAATTCAAGCAGAGATAAAGGAAGGAGAAGGATGGAGTCAGAGCAGATACCAGCAAATGCTGGGGAAGCAAGATGTGAGGTAACAAGCCATGAGCCTTGTGGTAAAATATAGACTAATAAAAATGGGTTAAGTCAGTTGTAACAGCTAGGTAATAATAAGCCTGAGCTATTAGGTCAAACAGTTTGTTGTAACGTGTACTCTTTCCTGCCAGTTGCCTGGGTCCTGCCATTGTCTTTGCCCCCAAATAACACATGAGACAATATATTAATTATGAAGCTGTTTGCCATTTGTTATGGTTTCTTATCGGCTAGCTCTGACTTAATTATTAACCCATAACTGCTAATCTGAGTATTTCCACATGGTCTTCTCTTATCAAAGAAAGGGTCCAGACCTCTTACTCCTCTACAGTCCTACATGGTGTCTGACTGTGCCTCCATTTCCCAGAATCCTCCACCTCTCCTAGTCCCACCTATCTTGCTTCCCTATTGGCCAACAGTGCTTTATTTATCAACCAATAGGACAAACATATACACAGAACTTCCCCCATCAGTTTGTAATTAATATTAAAACTCTAAGTGGTTATTTGGGAACTGGCAAAGAGGAGTGAAATGTCTGGTTCTAATTATTAATAAATTAATAAGGATTGCCAGGTTTATCTGTGTAGATATAGATTTGTACTTAAATTTACAATCTAATTTTGTATTCAGTTCTCTCTAAGATGTGTATGTTAATGGCATTTTAATGCCTTGACTTCAGACTGATTATTTATTACTATGAAAACTACCATCATGTTGCTACTCATCAGAAACAAGTCTGGACTTTTCTCTTTGTCCTAGTAGTCTCATCTTCTTCTACGTTGCATCTATGTGCCTAAAGCATAAGGGAAAAGTTGAAAAGGGAATATAGAAAAGAATTCATTGTGTGAAGTTGTGTTTGCATGTGTGTGCAGGTGCCCAGAGATTGATACCAAATTTTCTCTTCTTGTAGGTTTTTTTTTCACTCTTTGAGGGCCCACCACCTAGCTCCAAAGTAAATACATGGGGATTTGCTCTTACATATGAATTCCTGGCCTTAGCTTGGCTTGTTTCTAGCCAGCTTTTATCTATTTTTTTAAATGCACATTGCCTCTGGGCTTTTTACCTTTCTTTATTCTATATATCTTCCCTTCTTACTCTGTGGCTGGCTGTGTGGCTAGCTCCCAGCATCCTCCTCTCCTTCCCCTTTCCTTGCTCCTCCCTCCTCTTTCTGGAGCCCATATTTTTCTCTCTTCATGCCAGTCTTAAATAACCTTTCTCCTGCCTAGCTATTGGCCATTAAGCGTTTTAATTAAGCGAATCGGGCGTTTTAGGCAGGCAAAGTAACACAGTTTCATAGAGTTAAACAAATGCAACATAAAAGAATGCAATACATCCTTGCATCATTCAACAAACGTTCCACAGCATAAGTGAATGTAGCACATCTTAAACTAATATTCCACAAGATCTTCTTCAGTCTGTTCCTACCTTATTTTATGAGACAGTTTCTCACAGAATTGAAGTTACTGAGGGCAAGGCTGTGTGGCCAGTAAGTACTAAGGATCCTCTTGTCCCTACCTCTAGGTGGGCACCATGCCCAGATTTTTCACATAGTTCCTCATGCTTTCATGGCAGTCGTTTTCACTGACTGAGCCATCTCCCCAGCTCTGCAAGAGAAATACTCTAGATCTTCCTGGGGGTGGGGGGGAGAGAGGGAAAATTGGAGTTAAAACATAGTAAGTACTCTTCAAGCATTAGCTAATATCACTCTCATAACTCCTACTGTCACAGTAAGATAATCTGCTAAGTTTTTTTGTTCTTTTTTTGTTCAACAGAAAACGTCCTGATGTTATAGCAACAACTGGTTGGCTCGCTCCGGTCATATGGGAAGGAACTTATAATAGACAAGTTCTAGACAAGTATTATAAGAGACTGAACATTACCATAGGCTTGGCTGTCCTTGTTACTGGAAAGTATGCACTACTGGTTTTTATCCTTTACATTTTGGAGAGATAGGGATGAGCAGCCATGGATTATCTCCATTCACAGTTTCCTAAGAACCTGCCGTTCTTTCTGACTGGCCTGGGTATCTGTGGATAGTGGATTGTTATTGTAGCTGTTGTTATCTTCTCCGGCATTAGCAATTCTCTACCCCTTTCTTCATAAAGAACTTGGTCTTTTCTCAGGCCCTGAGTTTTCTATATTTTCTTTCCCTAACCAAGACAGCTGAAGATAGACACAATCTCTCCATCTTTATATTCTTAAACATCAATGGCACCTGTGTTACTTGGCATACTAAATGGCATGTATCTCCTGGTGAATTTCAGTGAAGTCTCTTTTTTTGCCCCATTTTTCATAGCTTTACAAGACAGTACCTGAAACACTTCATAAAATCTGCTGATAAATACTTCATGGTTGGCTACAATGTTGTCTTTTACATCTTGATGGACAACGTCTACAGGCTACCGTACTTAGAGTTGGGTCCTCGTCGGTCATTTAAAACATTTTTTCTATCTGATAGAGATTACTATCAAGACCCTATTCTCAGAAGCATGAAGAACATGGAAAGTAAAATCATACGTCACATCCAGTATGAAGTCAACTTTCTCTTCACTATGACTTCGAACCAGATCTTCAAGAAGGACTTTGGTGTTGAAACCTTGGGCCAATCTGTAGCTCAACTCCACTCATGGTGGTATTTTAAAACTCCCAAAGATTTCCCTTATGAGAGAAGAGTTAAGTCAGCAGCCTTCATCCCCTTTGGCCAGGGAGACTTCTATTACCACAGTGGTATTATTGGTGGCACACCCAGTAATGTTTTAACTTTCATTACACAATATCTAAAGGGAATTGCAGATGACAGAACAAATGAACTTGACAGCACATATGAAAGATACCTAAATAAATATTTTTTAATCAATAAGCCCACTAGGGTGTTATCACCAGAGTACAACTGGAATCCAAAATTTAAAACTCCTCCACAGATAAAGCACATTAAGGTAGTATGGCTGTCATAAATCACTTGAAGGTCGTGCCATGAGGTTTATGAATTGACAAGTAAATAACAGGATGCTCAAATATAAAACCTGGGACATTTACAAAAATGCATAATCTTCCAGAATAAATTATTTATCTTTGAAATTGTAATACTATTTCTTTCTTTCTTTCTTCCTTTCTTTTGTTTTTGGTTTTTCAAAACAGGGGTTCTCTGTATTGCTTTGGAGGCTGTCCTGGAACTCACTCTGTAGACCAGGCTGGCCTTGAACTCACAGAGATCCGCCTGCCTCTGCCTCCCGAGTGCTGGGATTAAAGGCATGCGCCACCAACACCCGGCTACTATTTCATCTGAATAAAAACAAATGGGTAAGTATTATTTATGTGATGTAATGTTTTATATAGGCACTATAAGTAATGTGAGAATCATTTTTGGTGGTATGTATTTTTAATGAAAAATAGATATTTAATGAAAAAATTATGCACATGTCAAATAGATCAGTAAAGGGAGCTTAATACTCATCACTTTGCTTGTTTTGTTGTTGTTGTTGGGATGTGTATTCCTTAGGATTGATCTCCTTGATCAGTATTCAGTCTGCCTAGGATTGATCAGACTCGGGTGAACTGAAAACATCCTTGCTTCTATTGCTAGTAATTCTGAGTTGGTTTTAAATATGTGTGTGTGTGTGTGTGTGTGTGTGTGTGTGTGTGTGGATGTCTTGCCTGCTTGTATGTCTGTGCACTGTAGGCCTGCCTAATGCCTTCTGAGATCAGAAGGATGCGTCAGGCTCCCTGAACTATTTAGTAGTCAGTTGCGAGCTGCCATGTGGGTACTTGGAACTGACACTGGGTCCCCTGATAGAGAACTAAGTGTTCTTAATCGCCGAGCCTTCTCTCTAGCCTTGAGTTCATGTTATTTTTTAATGATACAAAAGTGTGATAAAGAAAGTTTACATTGTCCCCAAGGAGCCTATAGTCTAACAAAGCAGATAAAATTATTCAAGAATATTTCTTTCACAAGTTTAAAAGTTAAAAATAAATTCAAAAGTGACTAAAATCTAGTGACTTAGAAAGGGAGGAAACCTCCTGGGGGAAAGGGTTGTCATCTTGACTAGGTCATGAGTGAGTCTGTAACTGTAGTGAGGCACTATCCCAGTACAGTTACAAAAACTGGACTTTAAGGAGTCATAGTAGGTTATTTGTATCTCCGCTTATGGGAGAGAAGCAGGGGTACTGCTAGTATTCTTTCAATGGAGTGTTAATGGAAATTGCCGGTGACTGGGTCGGGGAGACCTACAATGACCTACAATGAGCCACTTCTTGCATTCACGACCTTACGTAGTGTGCTCCCCTACAAGGTCTAACCGTAGAGAGGGCTGACTGCATGAGTGGCTTCCAGAGGGAACAGGGCACGCGCCGCTAGGACTAACCTAAGGAACACTGTGACTTTGCCTTACTGCAGACCTTCCCTTTTGCTGTCCTTGCCACAGCAAACCACCATTTTGGAGAGGCCCTTGTGATGTGCCCGCAGGTGCTGGCCAGCGCACGGGCGCTGATTGACCCAGAGTAGAGCATCTAGCACACCCCACCTAGCAGGACCAGGCCCCTGCAGACAGGAGCCACAGGGCCAGGCTGCAGTGTCCTCAGTAGCAGGTAAGCAAGTGGGGCTGGTCCCTTTGCTGGGTGAAAAGGGCTAAGGAAAAACACTCTGACCCTGACTTGACCCCCAAGGCCAGGACCAAGGACTTGAAAGTCCACCAATCCCTGAGCTTGCCTCAGAGTCGGGTCATAGAATCCCACCAATGCCTGAGATCCCTGAACATGAAACTCCTACCAGTCCCTGAGCTTGCCGTGGAATCCGGCCACGAAACCCCACCAGTCTCAAACCACCCTAGAAAAGCCATCCCGCCCACCCCAGAAATCCTATAGATAAACTCTGTATTCTGTTCAGTTTGCTGCTGGCTCTCACCTTGGAGGCAGCCACCCTTCTGGATTTTTCCTTCCCCCAAAAAAATCTCTTGAGTGAGGTTTGTTGTGCTGTGTGTCAGTGTCCGCGGAGCAGAGCTGGGCTGTAAAAGCGTTAGCAGAAACCGTAATGCTGGGAAAACTTTGCCCTAGGGGAGCAGAGCTGTGACCGCTTGGCTGGGGAAACCTTCCCCGCTGGAGCGGAGTTGTTGCACCTGTACTGGGGAAGCCTTTTCCTGCAGCAGAGCTGCCGTGCTCACAGTGACTTTGTGGTGTTCCTTGGTCCCCGACTTCCACCTGAGCTGCAGCGCTTACATTTGGGGGTCATACCTCGGATAGGCTCCCCTGGTGCCTGTGCTCTCCGTCATCATCCGAACCGCACTGGGACTCTATCCCTCATCTCTGGTCCACCTGAAACAGCCTCACGGACGGCTCAGCACCCCCATACACCAACGGCGATTAGGTAAGCTTCCACTTTGGTGGGTATGAACGTTTCTCTGAGTCTGAGGAAGTGACCATTGAGTGTCTGGCACCCCTCTGGTGCTCTCGGAGGCAGAGGTATCTCCAGGCACAGTCTTCAAAGCTATGGCTGGCCCTTTTCACCTGACCCTATCCCGCCACCCTCGGGGCTGCAATCCTGCAGTTTCCTTAGGCCCAACTGGGCTATTTTGTCCCTTCCTGCCCGCTTCTCCCATCTTCTCTCTGGAGCTGCCCATAATCCCACAGCCCCTCTAGGCCCTCCTGGCTTTTGCAACCCCATTCCTGAACCTTTCCATGGATGAGGCCTCATCTTAGGGCTCAGTTTTCATCCTCACCTTCTGGCCTCTGTGAAAGCCCTGCTTCAACTTCCCTGGTGGATGTGTGCTGGATAAGCCGCCACATAGATGAGGTTATCTGCTGCCGTTTGTTCTTTCACCTGGAAGTACCACCGAGGAAACCTTTGACTCTGCCAGACTTTTGGGAACTGCATCTGGCTGCCTTAACAGGGCTTTCCAGTCGATTTCTGCTGCATGATCTGAGAAGCAAATCTGATGATGTTTTGCTATATATCCATCCACCCTTGATATTTATTGTTTTAATTTGTGACTTTTTATATACTTAATAAACTAATTCATTCAAAACAAAAAGTATGACTATGGAAGATCATTCTCCAAATCATATAGAAGAATACATATAGACAGTATTCTCTAAGGAGATGTAGCTAAAAGAATACACACACACACGCACGCGCGCGCACACACACACACACACACACACGCGCGCGCACGCGCGCGCGCTCACACACGCTCACACGCACACACTACCTCTTACTTCCCTTGCTAGCAGGTAAGGTGGATCTTTACTCGATCTACTGATTAAAACACTAGTCTCAGCCGTGCGGTGGTGGCACACGCCTTTAATCCCAGCACTCTGGAGGCAGAGGCAGGCGGATGGCTGTGAGTTCGAGGCCGGGCTGGACCGATAGCCTCCAAAACAATACAGAGAAACCCTGTCTCGTAAAAAACAAAAAGCAAAAACAAACAAAAAAAAAACACTAGTCTTTTCCTTAAAGACTTTAACAGATGCAGTCAGAAATAATGTTTTATCAGTTGTCTGTTCACACTCTGACTCACTCAAGTTTGATGCATAGAATTGACCATCACAGGTTGCTCTCTCCATGACATTTAGGGAAAGGCAAAGCACTGATCATTGGACACCAGTGGCTTGAGGTGAGGATGTTTAAACAAGCAATAAGCACAGGACAGGACTTTTTTAAAAGAATAGCAAAAATGTAATAAAATAAAACAAAAACTAACACTAGTGAGTCTTTCTTTGTCCTGCCTCCCAGCTCTCAAATAACCACATGGAGACTTATTATTAATTGTGAAAGCTAAGCAGATAGCTTGGGCTTGTTTCTAACTAGCTCTTATAAGTTAAATTAACCCATTTCTTTTAACCTACTTTACATGATGTTGTTACCCTTGCTTTGTGAAGCCCATGCTGCTCATTCTGTACCCTAGTGTCTCCCCCTTCTTCTCTCCAGCATCCTCTCTGTCTGGAAACTCTGCCTGTGTATTGGCCAGTCAGCTTTTTATTAAACCAATCAGAGTGATACATCTTCACATAGTGTAAAGGAATATTCCACATTTCCCCCTTTTGTCTAAATAAAAGAGAAAGGCTTTAACTTGAACATAATAAAACCATAAACAATAAGAACAGGTAAGAATTATATTCACAATATACAGTCCATTTGTATTTGGCATATTCAGAAAAATACTCAATTATCTATCATATCTTGATGAATTTAAAACTTTGTACACAAATCATTTTTATCATAACTTGGATTACCTTCTTAAAAGGTATCTTTTTGGACCCCAAAACATCTTCTTAGATAAGCAATTTAAGCTTTTATGTCTCTCAGCCTGATACATTTTACATCCCTTTTGTAAGTTTTTTTTTAATTTGGTAACAAAGAAAACTGTAACAACTGTAACTATCTCATCTCCAATTCTATCAGAGTCTGAGAAGGATAAAATATTACATGGGCAAACTGGAAGGGCAAATTAAACAATTTCTAAAACTATGAAATGACAGAAACAGCTGGCTGGCTCTGCAATGCTGGGACATCCATATATCCATCTTCAGCCTGCAGGCCTAGAATTTCTGGCAGACTTTGCTGTGAAGCAGGAATTTTTGAAGGACTGTCCTACCCTGTCTTGGCAAAGTTCAGCAGTTGCTTTCCTTTGTGTCCTACATGTCCAGTTTCGACAGCATACTGCTAGCAGTCAAGGTGAGTGCAGTTTCTTGCCCAAATGGCTGACTTTTGCCACAAAGAAAACAAACTCCATATGGAGGTTCTTCAGTGCCCACCAGCCTTTTTTTAAGTAAATTGGTGCTGCCAAGAGCAGATGTGTCTCATTGTCATGAAAAGCCATGTGTAATTAAAACATTTAAATTACATATTCTGTAGGCCTTTGAAGTGCTTGAAGATAATATATGTATCTAAAATATATTTTGTGTGACCTTGAAAACATACCTAACATGCCTATAAATTTGATTGTTATTGATGACTAACTACTAACCTGTGTTTCTTTATTATCCTGAATAACTTTCAAGGACTAAAACTTTACATTACATTTTTAAAATGAGTTCCATGTGTACGATACCTTAAACAAGAATAGAAATATGTATATAGCATAACAAAAATA